AGTAGTAATCGGTGGAATTAAAAAGAAAACATAAACAAATATCTCTTGATCCCTCCGTTAGACTTATAAATCCGAGAACTGTTGCTGTAACTGAAGTGATTTTTAGGACAAATGAAAAATTCAATTGATTTTATACTTAAATAAATCAATTTTGTTGATTTTTTTTTAATTTAATGGCCTTTTTGTTCAACTATATTTTTATTGATAAAATATCTATATATATATATATATATCTAATAATTCAATCCTTTTTAAACGAAGTCCGAAATCAAGACTCTCATCTCCCAATTCATAAATCTATTCTTCAACTCATATCTCTTCCCATTTCTGATTTGGGAATTCAAGTTCAACAAATCTTTAATGCCATAATCAGACTTATGGTAGGTAAGCCACCCTGCTCAGTATAGAAATCTCTAAATCTCTAATGGACATGATTAATTCAATCTCAAGCAAAGACCTTGATAAGCTTCAACTCCATTCGAACTGGCTCAAAACATTGAACCCCTCTCCAATCAATCAATCAATCAATCATTAATTTCCAACCTTCAAAATCGAAACAAATTTTGGTTCCACTTTCGATTCTGGTTCTGAGTTTCAATCGCGTAAAGGTTTCGCCGCCGGTTTAATTTCCGGTCAACAAATCAAGGAATGTCGAAATGCCGGTTCTGGTTTTGAATTTCAATCGGTTATTTCTGCGGAAATTAGATATTTTACTTGAAGCGATTTATGCTTAAACAGTTATTGAAAATCAATCCATTATAATGTCAAACTAAAAATCTATATATCTTTGATCAACCTCAACAGAACTTTAATATATTAAAAATATTATAAATATTATAATATATATATAGTTTGTAAGTCTTTTCGATATAATATCTAAGTGCAAAATATAAAAAAAAAAAACGCTACTTTAAAGAATTAAAGCGGAAACCGTTTTACAGTTAGTGATTAATTGAGTCCGTTTCGAGTTGGGGAATGCGAGGAGCGAGAAGAGTCTGAAGAATAACTTGTGGTTGCCTAACCCTGGGCAGAGTTACTTCCGCCGAATGATCTTGGCAACTGTACGACTTTTTGTGCCAACTTTTTACTGCCTGCGCCTCTGCGTATTCAATTTAGGCCTGGCTGGTAGCAGAAGAAGAAGAAGACGAAGAAGAAGATCTTCCTTTACTTTGAGTATGAGTTTTATGGCCGCAGAAGGATGGCCGCTGGCTAGAAGAACAAAGATGCGGTTCCAGCTCTGCGTCTGGGTTTGGGGTTTATGGGGTTCAGGACAACAATCGCAGTAAGTGATTACGTAACCAGCTCATTGTTCTTTTTTCATTTCATTGAACAACAACGCATTGGTGGAAGATGAAGGAGGCGCGTCTGCATTTTTTTTTCTCCTTCGTTTTTTTTTTGTGGCCCCGTCCTTATCACCATCATAAAAATGGGGCGCGTGGAGCCCGTGCAGGAGCCTCAACCTGGAAGGAAAAATAATTTATTCACAGCCATTATGCACTGCGAATTTATGCCACTTCCTGGTGGAACAACAACTACAAATAGCCATTTAAAATGCGATAAAAATAGCGCCAAAGGCAACACACTAACAAAAGCCAGCAAGTAATTGTGGTCCAGTCGAGCATGCATGGCTAGCAGATACTCTGCAGAACAATCGTATCTTCAGACATGCAAAGGAAGCATATTCAAATATATATTCTTGAACAATTAAATGCATTTTTATATTCATTATTATTATTTTATTCTTCGATTGCAAATAAATATTCGATTTTTATTCCGATTCGAAGACATTTTCAACGGATTTAAAACCTATTTGGATGGTGGAAAAAATGTCAATGACCAAAGAATAAAATATATATTAGATTGTTAAAAATGTGTTCTATAAAAGAAATTAAGTTAAATGAAATTAAATTTAATTTTTTAGGAAGTTTTCTTATAGCCAACGAAAATTGGTTGCATGATTATTTGAAGAAACAGACTCTGCTAAAAAACTATCTGCCTGTGTCACTTATGACAAATGCCTTAAGAAATTTATGATAACCTGCTGCTGAGACCATTCTACAGGGTATAGCGTATGGAAAACGAAGATGCTGTGGGCGTGGCTGGGTTCCGGGGCGGGGCGGGGTGGGGTGGAGCGTTCAAGCGAGTTGAGTACTAAACCAGGCGCAATGACTGCCAAGCATGAAACCGAAAAATGGGTTTTCAATAAACACAGAACCGCACAACAGCAGAGAGAGAGAGAGAGAAGAGTCAAGCAGAAGCGAGAAGAGAGAGAGAGAGGGAGAGAGAGAGAGAGAGAGAGAGAGAGAGAGAAGTACATTTCTTCTGCCAGCAAACAATGCGACTAATATTTGAATATGTTAATTAGTTTGGGCGACGTTGCAGTTGCTGTTGCTGTTGCTGCTATTGTTGTTGTTGTAGTTGCACGATCAGTTCTATCGTTGGACGTGCATCGTTGCAGTCTAATTTCATGTGTTTTTTCTGTTTGTTCTTTTTTGTTTTGGTTTTGTTTTGTTCTGTTTTTGGCCATCTCTTCTTAGGGACAGTTAGAAGCAGTTAAGCCATTTTTCACACAACGAAATAAACAAAACGAATGCAAAGACTAACGAGGTCTCGTCTCGTTGCTTGGGCATTTGGGCACTTGCAGCATGCGATTCATATTTACGAGCTGTGTGCCACAAGCATATGAATAACGGGCACACATTCATATATTCATATTCGTATTCAAATTCACGATTGGTATGCGGCTGAGACCACACACGCATGCCAAGGCCAATAAAGCTGCCAATGAGCCGTGGCTAAAAGCAAATGACAAGCGACAGCAACAGCAACAACATCAACAACAAACAACAACAAACAGCAACAACATCAACATCAACATCAGAACTGCCTTATAAAGCCATAGGCCAAAGTCAGGCTCAGCATATTCGCAATTTGCACGCAAAGTCGAAGGCGACTTGGCTCACAGATGAAGAGATGCTTCACCTGATCTCAAGTTGAGTTCTGTGTGAGTGTGTGTGTGTTGGCTGTGTGTGCTTCTATTAAGGATGAGCGCGTGTCCAAGATTTACCAGCACAACACGAGCCATTATTCGAAAGCAATCACTTTTAACAGGTGAAATGAAGACAGACAAGCTAAATTCATCACACCGAATGTTGCACACACTTGCCCAAAACTCAGCAGCATTTTCAAAGTGAGTTTGGTTTGTAGGCAAATGAGATTTTGATACAAGAATTCATATTTTGAAATATACCTAAAAAATATACACAGAAAACAATTCTATTAACAGTTTTTCATAATGTTCAATTTGTCAATTTCGAAGCACCAAAATTATATTCGCAAAAGCTGCTTTAAGCGATTATTATTAGAATTGAACACTTTTCAGTTCATTAAATGTTCTCTTTTCTGATAGCTTTTGTACTTGTTATAGAGTGAAACCTGTACATTGGATAAAAATAGTATTGTATATTGAAATGTTGGAATATTAGACCCCCATCAATGTTCTTCGGGCTAAAATTAAAACTAAAGTCTCTGAAGCCAGATCAATGAATAACGAAGAACTTCGGACTGTGGCTTAAGAATCAGAAGAAGAAGTTGAGTTCCAATAAAAGATTCGACGATATTGTCTATTAATAAGAAAAGTTTTAGTAGGCTATTATTGTTGCTGTTAATATAACAAATACAAAAAACTAAATAAAAAAATTGTTCAAATTCAAAATTCATTAGTAAAAAGAATAAATATATACAAAAATAACTGGTTTTTAATTCGATTTTTATTTATAGACTGTTGCATATTATTAAATATCTTCGCTTCATTTTTAATTTTTTTTTTTTGTCAGAAAATGTTGATCAATTAAAATCGGCATTTAACTCGCTAGTTTTAGGCATTATACGTATTTATTTTCACGATCGCCCAAAATGTTGACTTGTGTCTCGAGCAAAATGAAGTCACGCGCTCAACTCTATTGTGCTAATAAATACATGTACACAAATGTGTATGTATGTGTATATGTGTGTGTGGTAGTGTGCATAGGTTGCGTGCCGCTACTGTAGGTGTTGCCCGGCACCAGCTGATGGCTTTGACAGCTACTAAATTCTACTTAAAGCGCAAGGCGACACAAGCAGATGCAGACGAAAGGAGTGAGGGAGAGACAGAGAGAGCGTAGATTGTGAGAGTGAGAGAGAGAGAAAGAGAGAGGGAGGGGAGAGCGACGCACGTTCCTTGTCCAATTTTGGGCAGCAAAATAGCAAATAGTTTTTGCCGGCGCTTATCGTTTGCCCATAAATTTATGTACGTTCGATGTTGCTGCCAAATATTGCCAGCTCGGAGGTCCTAGGCCAATAACTTGCCATGACACGCAATGAAGTTGTTTGCCTTTGCCTCTTTTTTTTTGTTCTTTTTGCAACGCGCGGAATTTTTGGCTTGGTAGAAAAATGCAATTAACGGCACTTGTTCGTTTTTTTTTGTTGTTTGGCTGTTCTTGATGTGCATTTGCTGAGACACGACACGACACGATCGTACATGTTAAAACACATCGTGTTTAAATTTACTGCCAATTGACAATTTTTCAATTGCATTTCATTAAATAATTCTTTACACTTGGAAAAAAAAAATCGTTAAGCTATTCACAATTTTTAAATTTGATAGATGTAAAGTGCATTGGTTTGGTTATCGGCTAAGCGTTAGCAAATGCAACAACCCAAATTCAGCGTTGCCAATCAAGCTGCTTTAAACATATTTAAAATAATATGCTGCAATTTCATTATATAAAGTATTCATTTAAAGTTTTTAATGCCTAATTCAAAGTTTTATTTTCTTATTTTAGTAAGGCAAACATTTTTCTTAAACCAGTCCGTCTTAGGTCACAATAGATACCAGCTCGAGAGTTGCCATATCAGCAAATAAATGTTAGTCTTCAGCGTTTTCTCCCTCTTAGCAAATGGTATTTACTGCATTTTTTTTAGTATGTTTTGTGTGCAGACAACGCCATTTTTAGCACATTTCGAATGTGTATTACAGTGAAAGGGAAACCTGCGCCATACAAGTACCAAATAATTAGCTAAAATTCTTACAATTTAAGAATTAAACATATTCAAATATAACTAAGAAGCGGCAGATAAGCGCAATCAGCAAAATGTGTGGTGGTTTTACCTGCTCGAAGAACGCGCTAATTGCGCTCAACATTTTGTATGTGGTAAGTAAGCAAGCAGCAACAAAAAACTAAACAACAACAACAGAAAAAATATACAAATTGCGACATACAATACGGAAACAACAACAACGAGGAAAAAACTGTTTGAAATTTGTTGTGTCTGCATTGTGAAATTCGTGCAACGGTTAATGTTATGTCTGCTATTTATGGAGTAAACAGTTGTCCTCGTTTCTCTCAATTTTTATTGATATACCCTCGGAAGTAAGAGACTATTGTTTTTGTTTTGTTTGCTTAATTTATCTTAAAAATAATATATCTATAAATAATATATACAAATGTAAATAATAAACATTAATTTATATATAAAAAATGAGCAATAAAAACTCATTTCAGGCAGGGTATTTAAAGTGCGGCGCGTCTAAAATATTCTCCTTTTTCTTTGTTTCTTTCTCCGTTCTTGTAGATGATTGGTTTCTTGCTGATTGGCGTTGGTGTCTACGCTCGGGCTGCGTCGGTCGTTACAAATCTGCCAATTGTTGGCGGCATCCTTGCCTGCGGCGTGATACTCATCTGCATATCCATGCTGGGCCTCGCTGGCGCTGTCAAGCATCATCAAGTGATGCTCTTCTTTGTATCCTTTTTACACAACACTACTACAACTACAACAATGTGCATGCATGCCTGTACCGTTATGCAGCACTACACGCACAACTGCACAAGGTCAACGCATGTCGAATGCCGTTCTAAAATACCCTCTTCCTCTAACCGGACATTTTCGCTCACTTGAGAAACGGTACACATGCATTATGCATGCATGTGTATTAGTGCTGCTTGAGGTGGGCTTCATAATGACGCAGCACTCTTGACATAAATCAAATGACTTTGTACAACACTTGGCTTGGCTCACGGAGCGCTTTGCCTTCGACTTCCGCTTGTTTCGTAATTGCGTCAGCTGGAAGGTTATCAGCTGCTACCGTACAACATGAACTGATAGCACAACATTAGTGCTATGTCAGCTTATACATACATGTATGTATATACATACTTAGCTTATGCATTCTTCAATGTTGACTGACTGGTTAGTGGGTATATTATATGATATCTGTTTGTCATTCTTATCTCGGCTCTAAATATATTTCTATGAAATTTCCAATGATTATTGAATTTGAGGTCAATCAGATTGAAACTTATCAGGTTATTTACATAGGAATGATATTTTTAAAGTTGATTAATAAAAAGAGCTTTGATTATAGTTTCCTCTTAAAAACTAATCAATTTAGAATTCATATTTGATTATATGTTTGAAGGAAGAACAATCAATCCAAATATTGGCTTATAGTTTCCCTTACAAATTCGGAGTTTAGATTTGAGTTTTATGTTTCAAGCAAGAACAAACATAAATCCAAACTCTTCCTTCTTTTCAAGTCATGTTTTTCAAGTAGACCGTCTACTATATTAAACAATTAGCCAGCTGAGTTCTTAAATTCAAAATAACACCTTTAGAAATACTATATTCAATCTAACTAATATATTTGTCAGCAATTTACTTTCAGCACACCGATCATAACCTTTTCTATTATTATTGGTTTGCATCTTAACTCTTTAAATGTCTCAAATGCATGATCTCAGTACATGATCATTCTGTTCATGCTGTTCCTCATTCAGTTCTCGATTGCCAGCTCCTGTCTGGCTGTGAATGCCGAGCAGCAGCAACAGTTTGCCGAGCAGGGCTGGAAGACGGTGCCGCCAAAGTTGCGCAAACAGGTGCAGGATAGTTTCCGTTGCTGTGGCTTCAATGCCACCACCACACCAACCACCACCAGCACCACCACCATAACCAATGTTAACGATGAGGAGCCCAGCTGCGATCTGATTAATCGGGAGTGTTGTGCCGATTCCAAGGATCCGTTATGTCATTGTGGTCCCTGTGGCCCCCTGCTAGAGGATAAGATTGATTATGCCTTTAAGCTATGCGGTGGTCTGGGCATCTTCTTCAGCTTCACTGAGGTGAGTTCCTTTCCTATTAGTTATCTCTAATCTCTTATCTCGCATACCGCATATGGATTTTTTTTAATCCTCTTGTCCTGTTCTCATATTTAACATGCTGCAATCTCAGTTCGTTGGTGTCTGGCTAACAGTGCGCTATCGCAATCAAAAGGATCCGCGCGGCTTGCCCAGCGCCTTCCTCTAAATTGCTAACTAAAACTCTCCCCTAAACTCCCCCCACAAATAAAAAAAAAAAAAACAAACAAAAAAATTAATAAGAACAAAAAAGTTTAATGTCAATGTGTAAATTTCATATTCATGTAACAATCGTGGGTCTTTTAGATCAACCTTTTGTGGTTAGCTGCTATCATCACACAGACACACTAACACACACACACACTTATACACAAATACATCTATATACATAATACATAATATATATATTTATACGAGCATCCCTACATATATACTTATATACACATAAGGTCCTTGCATGCACAGCCACAAGTACAGTCTACACTCGCTAATTAAATGAATTACTTTGGTTTATGAAAATCATTTCGAAGTCTAAAATACATTTTCTAAAGATCTTTGACAATTCTAATTACTTTTAATTTTCACAAGAAAATGGAATCTATGATTACCAAAAAAAACTGGCCATCAAAAATTCACACTTTAAGTTAAAAAAAAACGTTTTTGGAAAAAAATATAATTAATATAATTTACGAGAGAGTTACTTAGCGAGTGATCACTGTACTCGGCATATATACGAGTGTAGGCAGGAAAACCAAAACAGTACGTAAACGCATTAGGCCATACATACATTTACAACTTTAGAAATATATATATATATATGTAATATATAAATATATATATAAACATATATATATATACATCTATCTATATACAATACATATATATACAAGATATGTAGCAATGTGTTTACTTCTTTTTAACAAAACGCAAGCAATCAAGTGTTTCGAACTGAAAATGTCAACACACACAGACACACACATATACACTTAAAAAAAAAACACATACACACACATATGCATACATATAAATCGAATGTATTCGTGAGGAATATTTATTCACATTCACTAACAATTCGAAAGTCCCTGGGCGACGTCTGAAACTAAAAACACTCTTTAGAGAATTTAAACATGGCTAAAAGAGCAACTGGTGAGATATATATATACATATCTATCATGTAACAAATTTGATTATGCTTTCATATTTATTTTTTGTATGCTATGTTTTTGTGTTATTTGCTTGTACTTTTCTAATCAGTCTTCTTTATATTTAATTGGCAACAGGTTTTGGCCGTTTTCTTTGCGCGTCGCTATCGCAATCAGCACGATCCTTGCTATTTGCCTGCTCGCGCCGTCTTTCCACACAACTATCAGTACTGAAGATAAAGGACACTTTGTTGTGGAAAGCTGCCACAAGATGATCAAAGAGAACCAAGGCGCAGGCAACACTTTTAGTCAATGGGACGAAGGCTGATTTATAATTTTTACACAAAACTTCCTAGCAAGAACTGAATTGAGTGGAAGTCGAAATGCATTCTTGAATATTTGCATATATTACTAATATAAATATATATAAATGCTTGCTTAGTCAGTTCTTAGTTTTTAGCTGTGCAAAAAATCGAGATTAAGTTCCAACTCGCAAATTGAGATTATTTTTAGTTAATGGTGTTCTTTTATTGTGTAAATTTCTCTGTGTAATTGTTTGTACAATTTATGTATTATTTGTAAGTAGCACTTTAGAAATATACACATATATGTTTTATTTGCAACTGGCAACAATCACAAAAGTCAACTCAAAAACTGCTGTACCACTACAGAAAAAGAAAGAAAAAAATCATTTCGAACCTGATCTTAAGCGTAGAACCAAGTCAAATGTAACTAGCAAACTGGCAACTGTGTTTTAAACATATACATAAACACAACAAACTTATATACATATAGATACGGTCGATATATATATAAATATATATATACAAACATAATTCAATATAAAAGGTAACATATATATACATATATAGATGTTAGATGTGTGTTAAAAAGAAAAAAGAAGAAAAGAAAACTTTGAAATTAGCACTAAAAGGCAAACCTATAAAAATACATGTCAACAAATATTTGATAAGTTTGAAAATAATATCACAAACACCTTCCAAAGAAACAAAAACAACAACAACAAGCCTTGAGCTTTATTGCTGCTTTTCCTCGCTGCCTCTTCTATCCCCCACCCCACCCTGCTCTGCAGTTATCAATACATTTTCCAATTTACACAGCAGCGCCTTCAGCTGCTACCGCTGTCTCCTAGCGCTTGCACCCACGCGAGCCTTTTCTTGTTTTCCTCTCACACCTATACACACACACACATTCACACTCAATATAACCAATAGCTTTTCTCTTGCGTTTCAATTTCATACTTCCTTTCCAAGGCCACAAGGAAACCCTGAAATGAAAATTCTCTGTATTCTGTGCTGTGATTGAAGTAAATATGATCTTTAAAAACTAAATAAATTCTCGAGTTTCATTTCCCTTCAGCCCAATTAAAGCCACTAACGAGCACAGCTGTCTGGCTGCATCGGCATCCTTAGCACACGGTTTCAACTTACCAACCAAATGGGATAGCTTCACATCGTTATTTGCGGCCGTCGAGGAGTGGCCACTGTGGTTGCAAGTAGCCAAGGAAAAAAAGTTATAGAAAAGTGAAAAATTAGTTCACCTTGGAAAACAAATAAGTTCTTAAGTGCTGCCAGAAATTGTATAATTAGTGTCCAATCAAAAAATGTTATAAATACAATAATCAGGATAAGATGGATATTGCTCAACTTATTTGTACTAATTTGTTACAATTAATTGAAATTTATATTTTACAGACGCTTGAGTTCACATCGGAATACAATTGTAAATAAGGGCAGATAAGTTCTTGAGTATTGCCAGAAATTATTATATTTTTATTATTATTATTTACAATCTGTCGAAGCACAATCAACAATATAGAACAATATTATATGTAAATTTGCAACATTTAATTAAAATTTATATGGACGGTCGCTCTCAATTTTTCTTCTATTGCTACAGCTACAGACAGCACTAAGGATTTTTTTCGCTCTTAAATAAAAAAGCAGAGCAAGGCGAAAGAGCATTCATTGAAATGTTTTTACAAACTTTTAAGAATTGGCTGGAAAAGATAAAGCGCTTCAATACCTCCTAAAAGTTAACATAAAAAACTAGACTAGCAATCGAGTATATATCCTCGTTGATCTTTTATCTAACCACTTAAAATTTAAAATTGAACTCAATTGCATAACTGCAACGCTAGAAAACTCTGTTTTCTTACGAAAAATTAATCTAATGGCTTCAATCAATTTGGCAGCTATTGTAATAAGTGTTTGAGAGATTTGTGCATAAGTAGGATTTAAGCAGCTCTCTAATTACGCTTGCTGAACAGAGCAATTGGCTGCTCCTTGGCAGGCTGGAAACTTAGTTAGACAAATCCATTATGTAAAACAGACCCACGGTGCGCATCGCAAGGATGCCACTAATGTTTTCTCCTTGCCTCGCCAAGAAGATTAACGCACGCACTTTGTTTGACATGTCCCTGGGGAGGAGACGTGTAAATAATATTTTTCGGCAACAGACCCAACAAAATTTTCGGTAAAAAGGAGCAAAGTTTTTCACTCAAACTCTTGGGCAAGAACTCAACAAGCGACAGCTTGAACAGGCCCAAGTTCAATGCACTGGAAATGCTTTCTCCGACACCGAGAGAAAGAGAATGAGTTGAGGTGAGATTCACAGAGAGAGAGATAGCGAGAGAAAGAGAGAAAATGAGATTGAGAGTGCGCTGAGCGCGCCTTTTAGTGGGCCGAGCTGGGAGCTATTTGGATTATATAACGATTGCGCAGAGTCAGGTGGCCAACGATGGGGTGGCTGGCGTGACTCGAGTTTTTCAGACAATACTGGGTGTGGTGGACCAAGACGCAGCCGGTTGTGGCTGCGGCTGACGGAATTTGGTATTTGGGCTTCTGCAAACCGAACTGCGGGGGTCAACATATTCCGTCAGCTGCCAAATGTTCTTGATATGTCATGCTAAAGCAATGGACATGACATGCACAGCAACAGCTACAGCTTTAGATACAAATACAAAACGCACACTTAAAGATACAAATTCATGTTTCAACTAAAGGGGGAAAAGGCTTTGCGTCCAGTTTCTACAAACAGTAACACTTAAACCAATGCAAGAAAAAACACTCCCTAAAAACTCTCTTTTTTATTACGAATTTCTATTTAAAGCTATAAAAATAATTAAACTCTTTGGATGAAGGAGATCCTGATGAGCATCACCAGCCGCGTGTGTCTGTCGACTGTCTGTTTCTATACCGACCATATTCTGAGTGAAAGTTCTATATTTAGTCAACTCTATATTTAAATGTTTGTATAATGCGCCTGGGGCATTGCATGTCCTCTTTTGTATCCTTTTTGTGGACACATGTGTCTCGAATGTGAATTGTCGAACTAAAATAGAATTTATGCGCTCCGTGATTGCCACCTGCGGCTAGTTGATCGCTCAACAGTGCGTATTAGTATTATTGATTTAAGTCGAAAGACACTCGACGCTATTGTCAGCTGAATACTCAATAACTTAAGCGAATGTAGGCATACATAAATAAATAAAACATATTTGCCGCAGTTATGCAAGGACACATTCCATTTGTTGGCTCCATTAAAATTCCTGCCTGTTTTCCACTTGTGCTGAATTATTAATAACAAAGGAAGCAGCAGAAGATGAAAAAGAAAAGAAAAGCCATTAGCTGCCTCAATACTTCAAGCAAAAATGGAGTATCCAGCTCTTCGTAAGAGGGCGGCCAAATAAGAATTTTTTCATATATTTAATCTAAGCCACTCTGCTTCTGCCCTGGTTTATGAAAAGTGGGACACGTTCGACGAGTTATGGGCTTGATGAGTTTTAAAGCATTTCATTTATTAGTAAAGGATGTCATTTAAGAAATAATCGAGATTAGCTTTTAAAAATGCTATGATTTTTGATAAAGTGATGCTAAGATAACTATTTCTTACAACTCTTTTAATAATAATCGGATGAAAGATAAGTTTTAGTTTATCTGCAGGATTTTAAATTTTTTCGCGAACTTTGGATGGAAGATATGGAAGGCGATGTCTCCGATCCCATATTATATATATCTATATTTATATATAGATACAGTAATAATTCTAAAATTTTACTATCTAAACTTAAGATTTTAAAGACTTGTGCTCAGAGTATTTCGTGGTCGGCTCTCTCGACTAGAATATTCTTATCTGTTTCAACATTTAGGTACTTTATCAGTGAGTTTCTATAGGAGTAATCGGTCATTTTAGCGAGGTCGACTCAGGACTGAAAGTTTGTGCTTTGCAAGCATAAAACTTTCTTAACGCTTAATTTCTGTTCTCGTCACACATACTTATGCATAAATGTATAAATGCCCCGTAATTCGTATTTACTGCCACATAATGTCCGTCCAGCTGTCCGGCAGCCCATGAAGCGTGACGAGCGACGGGTTCTACTTTTTTTGTTGCTGTTGTTGTTGTACAGAAAACCAGAAATTAAGCCATAAAAAAATACTGAGTGCCTAGGCAACAAATTTGAATGTCAATGTCAGATCAAAGTCATACTGTTAATTAAGCTCACGGCACAGACAACTGTTGCAATAAGGTCGAAAGCTCGAAATTAAATAAGTAGCGCCACATGTTTGGGTTTTAATGAGAACTTCCGCAGAACTAAAGCTCATATTTACCAAATTACGCCAAAATAACAACAAAATATTATTTACATTTGATAGCTGCGAGAAATGTTTGCAATGATTAAACCTTTTAACTTAATAAAGATCAGAGCAAAGTGCTTCGCATTTGTATTTGTTTATTGTAAACAAAGCGAAAAAATTGTACTTATGACTAAATTGTATAATATGAAAGAAAAATGATTCTTTATAAATGATCTACAAGCAATGTGTGTATTTCTGAAAAGTGGAATGCAAACCCATTTATAACTTTTAATAATTATTTTGTAAATAAATTAGAGAAACATATAAAACATTTCAGATATATTACGATAAGAATTTTATTTTAGTCTGTGCTTGGACTTATTTTCTTTACGCTGTTTATTAATTTCTATTGAATGGATACTAAACGCTAAATGGTAACTCAAACTCCATCAACGAGAAAAGTATAAATACCATCTAACATTTAATATCGACATATTTCGTAAATAACCACACAAATACCTCAATAGAGTGGCAAAACACACTCATGAATGAGTATACAAACACACACATATGAATAAACAAATACTTTTATGTATTTTTCCTATCCATAAAATGTTTACCGTTCCATAGGCCCAGCAACAATAATTATATATTAAAAATAATTCTGTTTTATTGCCTGCACATGCAAGCAACCAAAAATGCTTTGGCAGTAGAGAGAGAGCTCGACTATAAGATACCCTGAACAAAGCTGTTGAATATATTAAGAAAAACTTTCTTGTTTTCAGTTCGACGTTTTTTTTTAAGCTTAAACATTCTATTTTTAGTATTTCGACCTTTTCATTATCATTTGAACAGGGAAATACCATTGTTCATTGAACTTCATTTGGCCCTAGGGATGTCTTGATATGACGAGTTCAATCATGATAATCCATATAATTTCTTCAGAAACTCGTGATAAGAAAAAGAAATGTACATATATGAATAGTATGTATAATGCTATATAAAGTCGCCAGTCGAGTGAGATTTTCAATAAGTGCGATTTTCTACTCCCATTCGCAATGAATATAGTCGGAGCATTGATCCTTGCTCTTTGTTTGGCCTCGAATGTGTGCTGTCAAAACGAGAAAGGACTTAGAATACTGTCGGAACAGGACTGTGGATATTTTGATTCAAATGCTCAGACGGATGCAGAAAATAGGATTCAATTAATGTCAAGACCCTGGCTGGCTCTGCTGAAGATCAGAAATAATGGCGTTGAACACTTTTTCTGCGGCGGCACACTTATAACAAAACGTTAGTTAATGCAAGCCGTCTTAATTGTATTATTGACCCTTATTCGAATATAATTAATAGGTTTTGTCCTAACTGCTGCGCACTGCTTGAGTGAATATGAGCTGTAAGTAATAGCTGATTATGTTCCATGTTGTAAGTTTCCAAATTGTATTTTCATCATAGAATACTAGTGCGTTTGGGAGAGCATAGAGTATCCACCCAAACCGACTGCTTTGACGATAATCAGAAATGTGCCCCACCTGTTAATGATGTTCTCTTTGATGAAATTTTTGTACATGAAGATTACACAAAGAACTTTGCTGCAAATGATATAGCATTGATAAAGCTATCAAGAGACGTTGAAAACAGTCGTAAGTTAAATGGTTAATACCACCTTCAGTTGCAGAATTTAACCGATTTATTTACTTGCCACAGAGAGCATCAAGCCCATATGTTTGCCACTTAACAGAACACTTCAAGGACAGACCGAAGAAATGGAGAAATTCTATGTAACTGGCTGGGCCCGAACCGGAAAGATATGATCCAATGTGGCCAAGGAGGCGACCGCCTATAAATACAATCGTACAAACTGCCAGAAGATCTTCAGCAGAGATATCAAATCGAGTCAAATCTGCGCTTATGATTCATGCATTTACGAACTTGGTGGATCTCCACTATCGTATCCGGCTGAATATAATGGCAGCCAACGATTTGTTCAGTTTGGAATATCCAGCTATGGACATCGTATGTGCGCTAATAATCTTTACCCAACTGTCTTTACAAATGTTGGCAGCTTTATTCCTTGGATAGCTGAAAAAATCGCTAATTAGCTTGTTTGCGTTGTATTTGCCCATTTATATCAATTTAAATAAAAAGTTTGCATACAAAATTACATTCTTAAGTCGAAATGGTTTCCTCGAACCTTACATTCGATTTGATGAAGAATCCAATGTCTGGAATTGAAAATGGTCAGGAGTAAAACTGATCCGTGAGATGCAAAGATATGATGATGATGCCATTAGCAGTACGCACTCAGATGACATCGGTCGAAAGATCAGATCTTGAATGAAACGCTTGCTTAAAAAATAACAAATTTACAGCTGACATTCGGAGCAAACTGATCGAATAAGTGTGGATTAAAAAATATGAATATTACACATATATATGCATATAATAATCATGCATATCTATTACAAAGCTACAATGGAATAACTGAAAAATAATCTGAAATAAGTAAAATACATTTTTTAGCATTAATGGTGACTTGACCCTGCTTTGCGTCAAAAAGGAGGAATTTAGCCACCCTTATAACAAGCCGGAAGTAAACATAGCTATCTGAGTTATAACTCTCAACTTCAATCGAATTTAACTTCAGGTTTTGATATTCAAGAGCCGTAAGTATTAACTAATTTCGCTTTTACGATTGCTTTTCATGTGGTACATTTTTAAATTTACTACGATTTATGGTGCCTTGTTGGTGAAAACATACATCAAGAATGTAATCAAGACCCAGTTGAGGATGTTCTCCTTAACACAACAAACTAGTGAAAATGAAATTGCATTAATAAAGCTATAAAGAGACGTTGACAACAATCGTTGGTAACATTTATGGTATTATTTCAAGTTGAAAATTTGTTCGATTTGGGTGCATGCCACAGAAAACATGATGGGGATCTGTTTGCCACTGAGCAAATTACTTCAAGAAAATTTCGCTGGGACCAAACTGTATCCGCTTGGTTTATGGAGATGAAACATAGCAGTGCACTCTGCCAAACGACCTTTGGAAGAGAGGTCAAATAGAGTCAACTCTGAGCTGGTCAATCATGCAGGCTGAATATAATGAAAGCTATCGTTATATTCAGTTTCGTACACATATGTTGGCTGCTTTATTCCCTGGATAGATTGAAAAACGCTAACCAGCGTTTAACTTGACATATGTACTTCATTGGGTATTTCAAATTCTTGATGCCTGCTAAATTTTATTGCTCTGCTCGTCAGAATCAGTATATTGAAGAAAGTGTTTCAATATAACTTGTTTAGCGTTAATGGTTGCTTACAAATCAAAAACTCATTGTTTATGTGAATTTGCCTATTATTTATTTATTTATTTAATATCAACTAAAGTTATTTGACACAAAAAATACAAAAAGTAACAAAGTGAATTAAATTATATATATAAATGAAAAATAAGAAATATTTAAAAGATTTCTGTAGGTATTTAATCTGAACTAAAATTGTACATATAAAGATAATAAATTTCACATTGAATAAAAACGAAAATAAAAGAAAACTAGAAAAATGGCGTTAGTGAATAAGTATTACAGATGTTTATGCACACATATACATAATTGAAAGATTACTTTGCTTAAAGACAGCAACGAGCATAAATACGTACTTACATGCAAACTCATTGTATACAAAGAAAATGTAAGAATCTTTTCAGCATTCTTGTTTTTGTTATTATAATCTTAGTGAAAGAACATATACGAGATTAAAAGAAAATATTTTAATTGAAATCACGTGGCGTATGCGCAACGAGTGCTGCTCAAAATTACGTATACGTCTTGTTGGCTTCAAACTGGACGTTAATGCTGCGACGTAATTCAATAAGCGGCACATTTAGCGCTTTAAGGCAACGCTCGAAGCATTAACGGTAAACATAATTAATGAACCGTCCTGCAGGAAAGCCACAATTAAGCACACGAGGCAACACGAAGGACGAAACGAGAGCAAAGAGAAGTCGCATCATTGCTGCGCAGCTGTTGCGTCTCAGCTGTCATATTTTCATACCCCCCTTTAACTCTTTGCCATGTGACCCGCATGTGAGCGAAACTTGAGCAAGTCTATAAACAAAGGCAACTGAAATAATTTTTTTATTTTTTTATTTTTTGTGTGGTAATTGTTTGGCTCATGTTTGTTTTACAGCTTATAATTAAATTTTGTTGTTGCGCGTAAATAGTTTTAAACAATTCCATTGACTCACCGCTGCCAATTATGCGGCAACAGTGTTGGCATTTTAGCTTTTTAATAATTATCTACTTTTTAAAAATTCAGAGTGCTTAAAATTAGCTATGATAAAAATACAGAATTTCATTTTATGTATAATTATAATAAATTAATAACAATAAAATTGATCACTTCGATGGTAAGCAGTTTAGTAATTTAATTGTTCTTCGAATTAGCTTTTTTTTGGCGCTGGCAACACTATTTGGCATTAGCCGCCGTTTGAGTGAATTTCATGACAATGAGCTTCCTGTGGAAAGTTGAGTTAAGTTGAGTTACGTCGACTGCGACTGCGACAGCGGCAGCAGCAAGCAGCATTTGAATTTTCGCTTGCCCGCTCTCTTAGTCAGTCAACGTTGAACTTCGCGCCGCTGCAGACGTCAACGCCTGGCCGTAGAGTGTTTTAGTGTGCGTGTGCGACACAGTGAGAGAGACTGAGAGAGAGGGAAAGCTCGTGCTGAAAACATTGCCGTCATATTTACACGTGAGTCGCAGCAGACCAGCAGATAAACAAAGCAATAGCAGCTGCAAAAGCGCAAATCGTTAAAGGACGCCGAGGACGTTGGCCAAAAGTCAAATCAAATCGCGATTTGCGCGCGTTTTTTCTTCTTCATTTGACTGCCGAAAAAGTAGCAAATTTTTACCTTTTATGTAAGTACATCAAAGTAAACTTTTTGGTTTTTGTGTTTATTATTTATGGGGTAGCATTATTGACTTAACACAAAAGCGTTGCTCGCTTTATTTGATTTGCAGTTCAGAAAATCAATAGATTGGTATATCCTTCGCATAATGTGAGCTCTTCTAAGTATGTTGTGCATTTTCTTCTCCTCTTTATCTAAACTTAAACATTTCTTATTTTCTTACTGATAACAACTAATGGAAAAGTTCTTGACACCCTTTTGGTGAGAGAAGGGTGCTGGTTGCGGTAGAAATTGCAAAACATTTGAAACGGTTGAAAATTTACATTTTCTGATGACTCTGCAATTGTTCATTGAACGGTTCAGCAAACGTTTTCAAGGTTTTTTGCGTTTATTGGGTCACAAGCACAGCCTGCACAACAGAAAACTCGTCTACACATTTTTTCCTTTCACTGTGCGTGAAAAGCGCAGCTGTTGGCTGAATGTGATAAGAAATATGCTTTGCATTAAAATTTCTACAAGCTGTAATTTGTCAAAAATTCAAAAATAAAAAGAACTTTTTTATTGCCTTTCAGTAGGTAAATTTATGTGCAAAAAAATACATATAAATAAAAGAAAACTTGAGATTAAAACTCTTACTTTTGAAAATATAAATCAATTTTTTGTATCTCCAACATATAATTGTTTGGGAAGCCTTGAAAATTAATCCTTTCAATGCCGTAAAAATATCACATGCCTCCATCGCTCACTTCTAATTTTGTATAAGGAACAAAAAAAGGATTCATAGGATTCAGCTTTTTGTTCCACACAAACCTTATTATCATAATGATTTACTAACTTTGCACATGATTTTTATGCCACACCAATAAAAAATCTTAAATTACAAAACGTTGAAAAGTAGGCAACGCTTTTGTTTATTGTAAATTCCTTTAGGAAAGGCACTCGGCGCTTAAGTGACTCACATATTGCCATGGGGCTCATCAAATATTTTCAGATTTTAAAGCTCTTAAGTAAATTTTAATTTCAAGCGTACTACAAGCTAAATAAGCAGAGGTTTTGAACCAGAAAATCACCAGTCAACAACATACGATTTCCGGATGGGTTCGCTTTGGCCATACTTAGTCGTAGTCGTGAACTTTTGCTTCACGAAATGAACAAGAGCAAACAGCAACAAAAAATTGTTGCTATGTTTCTGTCAAAGTTTTCGACTTAGTTGATGCCCTACAAACTGAGTATTTATGCTCAGCACGCCGAAGATTTTATACTCTTGCAGAATGGAGTCAAGCTGCCAGCATCTAATTTTAACTATAAATTCAAAAATGCGATCAAAAGCTATATAATATAATGGACTGATCTCCATGATTTTTTGTTTAAATGTTATGAGAAGGAGTTTAGTTACAATAATAACTTGTTTAACAAAATAGTTATTCATACAAGAACTCATTTTCGATGAGTTCCTATGGCATCTACTTAATACAGTAATCCGGTCTAACCGTCTCCGACATATATGCTGCCTGTAGCAAAGATACAAATATATAGAATGTGCTTGTGATGCTGACCAAGAATATATATATACTTCATGGGACCGGAAGACGTCTCCTTTCATGCGTAATGAGCTTCACGCTACAATTCAAATACCCTCTGAAAGGATCTTTAAAGGGTATATAAGCTACCATTAAATTTTAGCAACGTTTGAGGCTGGTCGCTTCAGTTTCCACTAAACGTGCTCAATCAACGAAAATCTTGTTGGTTTATGCGAAAGGCTCCCAAATAATAAATCATCTCGGCAATGTTGACATTTTTGGATGGCCACAAGCCGCGAGCAACTGGCGACCGCAGCTGTGGAATACTTTCAAGGACTCGAGTCCTGTGCGGTCATACGTTTGTCTGTCTACCACTCAGAAAACAACAACACAAACACGCAGACAAATAAAAAACACACACTCAGCTAAATTCACTGTTTTAAGGACAGACGCTATCCAGTCAGAAAATAAAATTCAAGAATTTTTCAGCTTAAATTAATTAATTGTTTTAAAATACAACTCCATTAAAATGAGATTTAGTCACTCTTGCCAATTCCAATCAACTACAGTTTTCGCTGAGTGTACGCAAACAACGTACAGTTGCCTGTCCAAGCGGTAATGGCAACTGACATTTTGCATCGTAGCTTTTTAATTAAAAGCTGTCAAAACGCTTTGTGTGCATTTCATCACCTTTTCCCCTGACCTCAGCAAAGCTCATTAGACCAGCAGTAAACTTTGCATGCAAATTACTTGTGTTAGTTTTCTTTTTCTAGTTATTTTTTTTTACACACTTTTGTAAAGCAAAAATAAAGTTTACCATTCGTTTTTTTTTTAAATTACAGCGTCTAGTGAAAGATGTCGCTACTAACGACCAACAGCCACTCGCTGTCCGAGGAGGAAATCGATGAGTGAGTAGAAGAACAAAACAAGCTAACTTTGATTCGGATCTAACAAACATGCCCTGCCAAATCTAAGTTTCCTCAATTTAAACAAGTATAAATGACCGAGCGTAAATGATACCCTGAATCCAAATCTTTACCTATTTAAACGAACAAACGCAAAGTTATCGATCAAAAAAGTTATCGATTAAATGCAATATGATTAATATGCGTAAGGTATAACTTATCTCCCCAGCTTAAAATTGCATGCCTTTATAACTGTTGTTAAACGATTTATATCGACATAAGCTAAGAAGTATAATTTATCGATAAAAGTAAGTTTACATGATATGCGTATGGTATAACTTATTTAATAAATCTCTATCTGAGATCGGGGATCATATAAATGAATAGGCAGATAAACGAATATGGCTAGATCAATTCGACTTTTGATGCTGATCATGAAATATATAATTTTGGAAAGCTTTCTGTTGTCTGAATTATTGAAAATTTGCCTTAAATGCGTGAGACTTTTTACAAGCAAATTATAATACCTTAAGCAAGGGTATTAAGAACCTATCCCAAGTAAAACTTCACACAATCAAATTGAATTGCATGGCACGAACTTTTGTTTAGTCAATTCTCAAAGATATGGAGCCAACAAGAGTTTGTTCGTTATAGGCAAGCAATTTGCACTCTGAACTTTGCGGTGTTGGTTTTTAGCCGCGGGTGGCCCAAAACTGCTAAAGCTAAAGTTTTTGCCACTTGTAATTCATAGTGTCAAACTTTGAAAGAAGAATTAAGTATTAAGAAACAAAAAGAATAATTTATCTTGGGAAATGTTTCTTTCTTGAATCTCAAGGGATTTTAGCAACGAAAATATACAAAATTCAAAATATGTTACTTTCCAGCGTTTTCTTTTATTCTGATTTAGTAGGTTTTAATTGACACATTAAAAAAACATCGAGTTCTAGTTCTGAACTTTACTTATACATTTCAGTAATGTGACAAGGGTTTTAAAACGATCAATTCTAAACTCAATAATAAATAAATCAATAATATTTGTAAATAAGTAGCATACTTTTCGGCGGCCAACAATAAACATTCGCCCGAAATTAGTTTTCATAATCAAGTTATGTTAATTTGGGCCAAAACACAGAGAATCGATTAGATTAGAATTTGTTCAACAAATTGTCAAGGTCGTCTAATATGCGACGAGGCCTATAATTATTCGTGTGCCACAAAGTATACCCGCTCCTATTGGTGTCTGTGATTGGAAGTGGGTGGTGGGTTAGGGGGTGTGGAGCTGTCGTGGGAAGTCTCTAACAACTGCTGATAATAATATCAACCCCACGCAGCCCATAGATATATATATATATATGTGTGTGTGTGTGTGTCTGTGTGAACGTAATGACGTTTATATTGCTCATACGCAGTGTAGCAAAAAGTTTCAGCATAGCAATGTGCACGACTTGAAAATACCCATTAACCAATACAAAATGTAATTTATCTACGATTAAAATGTTCTAAGAAAAATTCTGATAGTTATAGCAACAATGGTAAGCTAATCCAGTATATCAAATAAAAAAAAACCATAATAAATAAAAAAACAATTAATTTAATAATTAATTTTTTTAAATAGGATTCAAAAGATATTTTTTAAACATTTAACGTATGCGTAAGCAGTAAAATATGCGTAACTCAATTGATTACTCTAAATTAATATATTTTGGATAATACCCACTGCAATTGTGTACAGGGTATGGAAACACATGTCTTCCAGCCTAGGCCACAAAACATTGTAAGCATTTTCGATTGGCTTTTGGGGAATTCTATTCAAAATTCGCCCACGTTCGACTTTCGGTCTGTCTTTTGAAATATTGTTTTCAATTTGGCTGCAGTCACGCGTAAGTAATGCAAACTCGGTTGATGGGATTAGGGTCAGGACAATGGGCATCCTGACACTTGCCTCCTGGTGGCAAGGCAGTGACTTTAAGCTAACGTATCACGACTTGTTGTGTAACTTTACTTATTACATTATACACCCTTGCAGAGATTATTTTAAATTTGACATGCACTTGTCACGCATGCAAAGAGACATCTCTGAGCCCATTATATATATATATTAATGAGTAGCATCGCTAGCCCTTCCTTTTTTAACAGGACTAGTGTGCATATGTCGAAGTTGTCTGGACCGAATATTGTATAACTGCCATTGTAACGATTAGGAGAAGATGAGTTATTAGATGAAAAAACTATTTTGTTTCAAAAGATATCCACATTTAACTGATAATATTATATAGCTCCTAAGACATCCAAACTCTTTAAATAATTTATTATATTAGCATTAAATCATCAACACCGGGTTACTATATCATATAGATTTAATAGAAACACTTTACCGGGTTTTTCTTTCATTTCATTGATAAATTCAGATGTGGGCAGGTTGACTCCCTTCTTCTGCAAGGGTATAACATCTTTGCGGTTCCCGAAATAGCCATTCTTGGTTGTTCATTTCACTTTACGTTTTATCTCATTCATTTGGTCTATGAATTTAGTATTACTTTGAACGTTTCTACTTTTAGAGTTGACATAGCCCAACAGATATGACCTTCAACCTTAGTCGTTAACTCACTTACAAATGGCATTTTGCAATTGGACCGCACTCAATGCAATTTAGATTATTAACAGATACGAATTATCCTGTCCGAATGAGTGACTGACTGATTGATTGGGGATTGCTGACTAGCCTATGGAAATGGCTGGGAAATCAAAGTGAACTTTTCAAATTTCCGACTGCCATAACTTTGTCAATACTAAACCGATATTCAAAGCTAGGCCTTTTTATTATGGTTACGAGTCTGGACTATTTTTAAATTTCAGTTTGCAGTAGAGATTCAAGTAGAATATTAAATTTGTTGAAAATAAGGATGTATGTGAACCAAACCAAAATTAGTTTACCTAAACTGTAGAAAACTCCTAAGTCGCATGGTTTTTTAATTAAAATTGTTAAAAATATATATATAAACCTTATGAAGTAGCCAGAAATTCGATCGACTTCCAATTGCATATCTCTCCACACTCCAATTGTATCTTATCTTCCCTCATATATCAAATAAACAAAAAGTTCTGCTCAGCAGTTTATATCATTTATTAAACGATATTCTTACAAAGCTTTGCATTTGATTTATGATATGCAGCAGAAACCAGCAAAAAGTAAATACAAAAAATTCAATGGAAGTTGAAATTTCAACTCATCTGGCAAAGGATTTTCTTCTTATTCATGTTAGACATGATAAATTTCGAGTTTAATTCCAACTGCCAGCTGGCAAACGAGGCGAGTCGGAAAATAGGAAAATGCATTACCCACAACTATTGTATACATGTCTATTTATGCATATCTATACATATATATATATATATATATATATATATGTGTGTGTGTGTGTGTTTGTGTGTGTGTTTGTGGGAGAACTTCTTGGCAAACAATTCAAGGCCACGAATATTGAGAGCTAGTATCTGCTAACAGCTTGTAAACAAATTACACTGCACTTACAGATATATATATGCACTTTAAAAAACTGTTATTTTCAACGTAAAGCAAATATAAATAATATCGAAATCAGGCAAAAGGACAACAATTTAGACCAAAGAGTGAAATTCCTATTTTAAGAAGTTTTTGTGATCGAAAAATTTCAGTTTGCGTTTGTTTTTATTCAAAATCAGTTACATTCTTGAAATATAACCAGATATGGCTTAAATTAAGAACTTAACTGCTTTGTTCTTATTCAGAATACTCAAGTTCTCTAAACAATTCCGATATCATCGTAAAATATAGCTAAATAAGCTAAAATAGAGACTTAAAATTCTTCAAGACCGTTTCACACATTATTCAATATCAATAATTCTTGTAATGAGTTCTTTATACAGGTTTCAGAATATGTTCCTGTTTTTAAAACATTAACATGAAATTTGATTTTCTCAAGCAAATCGATCGATTTTCTAACCACACTGCACTTAATCCAGCTTTTTTCTCTCAGTGTATGCAGTACTCAATGTCTTCAAAGGGCAGCGTCGAGTGCTCAAATGCCAGTAAAAAGACAATTACTTGTGGTATTTGAAGAGGAAGAGTGGAAGAGAGGGGGAATGCGGAGTTGGGGGAGTAAAAACCAGTTGTGTACAAAGAGTCAAGTGCAAAAGCTGCTTTTAGATTAAAGTGCGCAGCTAACATTGCTACACATACATATATTTATATGTATTTAATGCAGTGACCTACATATGCATCTTGTAGTTAAGAGACATTTCCGGGAAAATACTAACTGGGTTTCACCACAATTCAATATTGATAAATCAATCGCACAGTTATTATGACATTTCTCAGAAAAATGATAATCACTAATGAAAGCTAAAAAGATAATTGTGACTTTAATTTGCTCGAGTTGCAGAGCGTCTAAGTATGAACATTTGTATTTATGTATGTAAGTATATATGTATACATATATCTCGCAAATATGTCACGACTGTTCAACACTTTAACTATTACTTAAATAACAATGCGCAAGCTATTTCGAACTCTTTAGAATTACTACCGCTAAGTCTGTTAGACTTCTGTTAAGTTTCTGGCTCACTTTAATAACTGTTAGCTACAGCCCAGTATTTACCTGCAACTGTAAATACGGATTGGCAAATATTGCATAAAACGTGAACTCCAAATGTGGTCGCAACTCTCATACATACATACATTTAAACAGTTAGCTCTAGCAGCAACTCTCTCTCTCTCACTCCCTCTCTCTCACTCTCCCTCTCACATTATTGCTCTCGCTTAAAAGTCGCTTCTCTTGTTGTTGCTGTCTGGCTGTGCTTAAGTCGGGCCCCCTTTTCTGTTGTTACTGTACTTGCTGCTGTCGTAAGCTCAATGACTATAATTGCTTTTATTTGTTTTTGTAGATTTGGCTCGCGATACAAGTTGCTTATATATTTTTTATTTGTTTTGTACGGCTGTTTTTTTTTACATTCATATGCGCAAACTTTTTAGCATACTTTGCTCAAAAAAGTACATATGTACATGTATATATTTGTGTAAATGAATGGATATCGCTATTATGACTGTTATGGCTATGTACACGAACAGCTGATGACGCACAATTGCAAAATGCTTTGAACGAAATCGCTGTTAAAAACAACCTAGTTTTCTTGACAATTTCTGTGAAAAGCAGCAAATATTTAATATTCAATATGGCCGAAACTTAATGAAAAACTTGACGATAAATTGTTGCACATACTGTGTGTGTAGGAATTTATATATGTGTGTGCAAACAATGTTTAATTTATACGAAAAGTCTTTGCCAAATATCAAAGTTAAATATGCTAATTAAATTTGAAATCACAGACCGGTTAAAATACGCTTCAAATTCATTTAATTTGCATGCGAGACATACTTAGATATATGTTTATTTAAATATTTCGGAATGGAACTAATCAACGAACACCCTGTATCACCCTGCATTTTGCTGTAAGCGCAATAGGCGCAAATTAAAGCAAAACGTTAATTGTGAAATGACAAGTGCATTGCTCGGTTCAATTACGCAAAACCGTTATACATGCATACATATTTGCATGTGCTGAGAGCCAGTTTAAACTGCAATCAATTACATGCTAGACACGAGTAAGTTTTCAGCAGACAACAGACAGATTTTTCTTCTAATCAGTTAGCCTTGTAAATAGTAGAACACGTTTTCAGTGCATATAAAACTATTAAAAACAGCTTAGTTAATATAGTTGCTATGCCTATCAAGGCGTTACAAACTTTACGAGAAAACGATGCTACTCTCCATAAAAAAAAGTATTCCAGTATAACCACAATTCGACAATGTGTTATATTCTAGCGTGACATTTGAACTTCTGTTAATAGCTGTTATCTGTGTGTTATACAGAGCCGCATCTAACAGTGCTGCTAACACGCTGTTAACCACTGTCCATATTTACATACCGGTAGAGGCATTCGTGTGTTTGTGTGTGTTTAGTTTTGTGTTGCCGCCTCCTATATAAGAGTCGTCTGCGACAGAAGACATTTTTTAGTTTCTCGCTATTCATTGACGTGTCCAAATCGTTTCTTGTGATTGTTTTTTTCGGCTGTTTTATGAAAATCAAGAAATAAAAACGTTTCAACCAGGAGCATAGAGTTCAAGGACATCTGTGTGACAGTCTGACATCATGCCACCGACAATAACATCACGTCACCCACAGGACGAGCAGCAAGAGGATGCAGATGCCTTCGTACGCCATCTAACGCAGTAAGAATTCAAATTCCCTTGCGAAACCGGTTTATAGGCCAAATACCTTTACAAACAGCTGCAAAACGCCGGGGGTTGTTTAGTTTTTTGCGTTTTGGCGGATTGCCAATGGGGTTGGGGTATCAACGATGACTTACTCATCGCAACCAAATTAAAAAGCGTAATTCACGTGAATTTTCGCACAAAGATATATTTTTGCTATCTAAATCGCTGAGTTGGCAGCTGACGCAAAATGTATTTAACTTGCCGAAACAATCAAAGCAAAACAAAAACAAAAACGAAAAGTTATCTCTGCGAGAGAGGAAAAAATGATAAAATAAGTTCGCTAATCGACTAGCAGATACCCTTTACTCAATTCCCTCAAAGTGATCTTGATCAGTTTTAGAAGAAGAAAATGGTCATCTGATTAGATATAATCATTATATGTATATATAATTTGTTTCTTTTGTCTTCAGTGTGTAACATACGTTTCCCCAATTTCAAGCTACCCCATTCGCACGCTGTATATATAAGTATAATAGAGATTGCAAAAATAAACTTGTACCGCACAATAGTCAGACTGTGTCGTACACATTTTTATGGCTCTTTGATAATGGTGGGTGTGTCATTCCGATAGGCAAACCCGGATCTCGATCCAGGCCCCCAGAGCTAGGTGCACCTTTTGTAATCACACCCACTTGCCATGCAATTGATTTGATTGTCCACAAATGCTCAGATTTCATTCAGTGAATGATTTGAATGAATTTTGTTTTCTGATAAACCTGATACCTCGCAGTTGATGATGGTTGGCTTGTGCTTGTGCGTAGTACATATGGATCCGATGTTCTATCAAAATCTAATCAATCTTAGACTTGCCGTCGCTATCAAGGTCAGCACTGTCCCAATGTTTACATACTATATGTATAATGTACATGGCATTTAAATATGATGTATATGGATTTTTTTTTCTCAGCCTGTTTGCTTCTATTTATTTTTGTTGTTGTTTTTCGATTGACGCAGATGATAAAGTTAATCGAATGACGATGACAATTTTTTGGGGCTTAGCCTCTCTGATGTATGGGGGGCCACATTGGCTTCATATCAATTCAGAAAGGTTTCGCATTCAAGGTTAAATTTTGGCAATCTACTTAAACTAAAATCGTTGTGACTAAAATTTTAGAATTACTATCAAAATAATCATACATAATTTGAACATTTTCAATGCCAAATTTCGATGGCGTCTCATTTTTGTTCGAGATTCTGAGATTATTTTATTTAAAAGTTGCGCATAAGACATATTTTCCTCGATGGATTCTTTAAAAGCTTCCTGTTAGTCTTTCTCTATTGAGAATTCTCTACTTTCGGATGTATACTCTTTATTTTTTGTCAGTGTACAAATCAAAAACAGCGTGCACTTGACACGTAACGCACACTTCGTACACTTGGTCACATATACAATGCATTTCTCGGAATCATTTTTCTTATCGCCATTTCAATGCGCAATTAATATATATATTTTTCTGATATCACTTTCAATGTGAAAATTGCTCATTATGATGATTATTACATTAATTATTATGATTACTGTGTATGGATTGTGATTGAGACATTTTTATAACAAATACTATAATTTATTTATGTTTATTTATTACCTGCAGATACTCCGATGGCACCGTCAGATTACGCAACTCGAATATCGAGCTAATGGATCAGGATATTCTATATCATCTGGCGCTGGGCAGCGAGAGTCATGATCTGCAGGAAATGTTTGGCGATGTTAAGGTGAATTTTCCATCAAATAATAATTTATTATAATCTAAATTCTTGTTGATGATTTTAAATATATTCGTAACTAGTCTAAAGTTGAGAATGGTGTTTCTAATTTGCAAAATTTTAATAATAACTGCAATTGAACAAATTAATATTAGTTTTTAACATTTTTCGAAATTAACCGTTGGAAATTTATAACTAGATTCGAAACCGGAATCGATGTGATTCCCTGGTTTTAGAACATAAGCTGATTATGTAAATTATTATTTTGATACTTTATGTGTATTTTGTGACGAATATTACAATTCATATTGCTTTACAATATAAAATTCTTTAAATTCTATATTCACAAAGATAGATTTATAATTAAATAACCCGCCTATCAGTCAGCCACATTATTTATGGGACAATCAAACTCAAATTCCATTCCACTAAGACAACTAAATTATGGCATTTAACTAAACCGGATCAGTGAATTGCGCAAGTGAGAGTTTAACAAACTGGTTTTTCTCATTTGCAGTCTTGTTTCTAGATGAATATGCAATAATTCTAGTATAGACTTAATTGCCCTTGATCAAGATCAAGTTCATGTATTTCTAATTTATTCTTATCATCTCTTGACATTTTATTGATGGATTCTTATCATCGACTTAATCAACTCCCATTCATAACGCCAACCAGTTCGTTTGCATGGGCGGGACACCAAAGCGCATGGAGAACTTTGCACACTTCATTATGGAAGATATCGGTTATAAACTGCCCGCTGGCACCCAGCTGCAGGATATAAGCGCTTACTCGTACCGCTATTCCATGTACAAAGTTGGTCCAGTGCTTTCCGTTAGTCACGGCATGGGAACGCCCTCGGTTAGCATACTGATGCACGAGATGATCAAGCTGATGTATCATGCCAAATGCATTGATCCCATCTTCATACGCATTGGCACCTGTGGCGGCATCGGTGTCGAAGGCGGCACAGTCATCATCACCGAGGATGCCCTCGACGGACAGCTGCGCAACTCGCATGAATTTGTAAGTGCATTTTCAATAATTGTTTTTTCTTTCTTTGTTTTCCCTGTTTTCCCTGTAGAGTATATGTTTTGATTGAGCTAGCCAGCTGCAAGTAAGAATTGACATTCAGAAAAAAAGGCTATTTTAAATTCAAGTTAAAGATTTATACAGATTTAGTCTTGCAAATTTTATGCGAAAACTGGAACCAGATTCGTTAAAAGAAATTATCCATTTGAAATTCAGAACCACAAACGGAATTCGAAACGAAATTCGGCATTACTTGATTAACTGACAACGAATCAGATCGATCCGGAACCGGTATAGTTAATCAACTGAGAACAAGACGGGAAACTGGAAACCAAATTAGACAGTTTCTGCTTTCCGGCCAAATAATTAAAGTAAAATCGAAAGTGTTAACAAAAATTATCTGAAGCAGAATCGAAATAGAAACAGAAATTAGACATTTTTTACTGAAGGCAAAGCGAAAACAATATTAATCATTTCCTGATTTCCGGACAGGGAATTAAACTGAAACCGAAAGTGCTAACAGAAAATGTATGGATAAAATTCAGAGCCAGAACCGGTATCGGGCTCGGAACCGACAATCTTACTTAATATTTTTCGCAAAACTCTCTTAGATTTAGAAATGAGAATTGCATATTTTTAGTCAACGATTTCAAGCAACGTTTAAATACTCTGAATACAGGTTCTCGTACTATTAAAGCTTCGCAGTACAGGGTGTCTGCTAGTCGACCTTCTTCGACTAGTGCCTTAATCTGGCTTGTTTTTTGTGATTGACCTGAACTAATGTTGATTTTTTTTGTGCTACTAACAGACAATTCTTGGGGAGACAATCCATCGGCCAGCCAAGTTGGATAAGAAGTTGGCACGCGAACTGAAATCGTTGGCAAGTCCTGATGATCCATATGACACCATTATCGGAAAGACACTGTGCACAAATGATTTCTATGAGGGGCAGGGACGTTTGGATGGCGCCTTCTGTGAGTTTAGCGAAAACGACAAGATGACGTATCTCGAGAAGTTGCGGGACAACGGCGTCGTCAATATCGAAATGGAAAGCACCATTTTTGCGGCGCTGACTCATCATGCTGGAATCAAAGCCGCTGTTGTTTGTGTGGCGCTGCTTAATCGCTTGAATGGGGATCAGGTCAATGCACCCAAGGAGGTTATGCACGAGTGGCAACAGCGTCCACAAATTCTTATCGCTCGATATATACGCAAAGTGCTCTCCCAGAATGGACAGCTGAAGTCGTTCTTTGGCCATCAGGGATCAATAAAGTCGCCGCGTCGCTTCAAGCTGGTCCAGCAGGAGTCTCAGGCTCACGAATAGATAATCTGTATGTATATGTATATCAGATATAACGACAAGTTACCTTTTGGCTTTACTGTCCAATTCCCCAACAACAAAAACAACATTTCTTTATGTATACAATTTGTTCAACAACATTCCTTAGTTTAATTGTCGCTTTAAGTTGTTTAGCCTATTTTCACCCAATGAATGTACTAGATGTATATCCAATTCCTCATTAGCTTATTTAACACAACAAAATATTTAAATAACGCTGTGTTTCCAAATGCCAGCAAATTATTCAAATTGTTGTTGATTGCACTTTAATAATAAAACAAAAACCAAAACCAAAACAGAAAACATACAGAAAATATTGTTAATTGTTATGTTGCATATATTCTAAATGAGGCAAACCAAAAAAAAAAATATGTATGTAATTCTGATCATAATATAAGATTTCATAAATTATTATATTACACACATATTGTATTGTAATTCCTAAACATTTGTTATAATGTTGCTAATCTTAAATTTATACAACAGTTACTCTTATTCAAATCTATATAAAAAGAAACCAAAACAAGCTGAATACAATTTAAAAACAAAAAGCGTTAAGCATTGCAATCGGACATAACCGACTGCCGAATACTCTGATGCCAGCTGATAGATTTGGTGGCTCTAGCTATAAAATTGCGGAATATCAACAAATATCAAAACAAATACAAATAAAGGTTTCCAAGTTTGGCAACTTACAATTTATGCCGATCTTTCTACGAGCTCACTTTCCATTCAAAATGGGTCTCATAGCTTCGGTGTCAGAGTATAGAAACGGTTTGAATGCAAAATACGAAAAACTTTATGAAACTAATTGGTATATATATTAAAAGCAAAATGTATTTAAACAACGATTTTGGTATTTTTTACAGACTGTTTGTTGTGACTTTTGTGCATACGAATGCTGATTATTTTGGTTGATTTTGAAACAATATCTTACATTTTCAATTCAGATTGTTTTCTTTTTTTGATATTGGGTAATTCTCATATGAAAATCTTATTCTATTCCTATAGAAGTCTACCATTTTTATTACAAATATTAAGCTTTATTTTAGAGAAGTTCTTTTTATCTATCAATATTAATTTATGATTAACACTAATCAGCAAATCGATTTGTTTTTCATTCAGTTATTCACTGGTTATATCTGATTTATTGAAATGCTGCTGAGCATGTTCATTCAAAAATTAATTTTATACCGAAAACTTTTCTAAATTTCCGACACCCAATTGAAATTTTGTGATATCAAAACAAAACCATCGCAAGTATGGAGTGCAAAGATCTAGAGAATGATGTCTGCGAGCTAAAGGGTGAGTGAACTTAAAGATCTGGCCTTCAGTTAAGTCAATATACTCAAGCCATATAGAAATGGTTAAGTCGCAAAACAAACGCATTGATGAGCTCATCAAGCATATCAAGGAAGGCTGCAACCAATTGGAAGCAAAAGAGTTGAAGTCCAGCTTGTTCAACATGAATCCCTACCTCGAGTGCCTCGATCCCGATATTTTATACCATCTCAATCTCGATACGCGTGCAACGAACTTTCCCAAGGTCTTTGGCGATGTGCGCGTAAGTCGATAGAAAAAGAACAGAAAGCTGGCACGAAGTTAACATACCCTTGCAGAACCAGACACACCTATATATCATAAAAGATATATTAATCGATGTTGTTATTAGGAACTGACCAGCAGCGTAGTGAGTTCGCTTAAGCTATCTTTCGACAGTGATGGAGTTGTTTGATTTATCCTAGTCAGATATATATTTAATCTAATAAAACAACTTCAATATCAACTGAGTAGCCATAAGTTTGGCAGATAGATGGGCAAAGCTATATCAGCTCAGGTCATAGAGAATATATATACTAATGGTTAATGATAGCTTATGATATGTTCCAAGTTTAATGTAGATAACTTCAATACTAACAGCGTTCGCTTAGTTGGGCAGATAGATGAATAGATGGACATGTCTATATAAACTAAGCCCATCTTAAATATATATATATATGAGTTAGAAGATGTCTCTTCCAAGGAGTTACATATAGCCAAATAATAACATGTGCAAGAAATCTTACAAATCTTATTCTTATTAAGAAGTTGATTATTTGTATTTATCAGTTTGTCTGCATGGGCGGAACGGAGTCGCGTATGGAACAGTTCGCCACATTCATTATGACGGAGATCGGACTGAAGATGAACAAAGCTGTTAGGCTGACAAATATCGCGGCAGAGGCACATCGGTATTCCCTGTTCAAGGTGGGACCAGTGCTCTGTGCCAGTCATGGTATCGGCAATCCTTCGATTAGCATTGTCCTGCACGAGCTGTTGAAGATAATGCATTATGCCAAGTGCCAGAAGCCGGTGTTCTTTCGCATGGGCACATGTGGTGGCATTGGCATTGAGCCGGGAACAGTGGTCATCACATCGGAGGCTTTGGATGGTCAATTGCGTGCCGTCTACGAGGTCGTTATTCACACCGAGCCCCAGCTGCGACCAACCGTATTAAGTAAGGATTTGATCAGAGAGCTGAAATCGTTAACGGAGCCCTGCACGGATGGCTATGACACCATTGCTGGCAAGACAATGTGCTGCAATGATTTCTACGAGAGTCAGTCCAGAATGGATGGCGCCTTCTGCGATTATAAGCCCGATCAGAGGACGGAATTCCTCAAGCGCATCTCAATGTCTGGTGTGGTCAACATGGAAATGGAGAGCACCGCATTTGCAGCAATCACCCATCAGGCTTGCATTCCTGCCGCCGTCGTTTGTGTGACGATCCTAAATCGCTTGGAAGGTGATCAGATTGAAGCGTCCTGCGAGCGGCTTAAGGATTGGGAGCTAAGACCTCAAAAACTAATTGCTCGCTATATACACAAGGTGCTCTATGGCGGGGACGATACTGATAGCTCTAACTGTGACTCTTGACTTTGGTTTCAAAATGCTGAATGTTTCTTTGAAAATCAAAAAATATTTTTAAAAATTCCACAAGTAACATATTTTTTTATAGAGTATAAATTATACATGATTTTAATAATAACTTATAAAAAGTAAACTAAATGGTAAGAATCTACAATTTGGTTCATTTGTTACTTGGTTCATTTGTTACTTGGTTCATTTGTTAAATGAATCACAAATTTATTACTTACTTTATATTCTTGGACTGACTCAGTTTGAAACATTATGGATTTGCAGGCCGAACACGCATCGAACAGAGACGTTCCACTTGCTACTTGTTATCAGTTCGTTTTACTTATGGTAACAAAGAACTTCAGATTTAACCGAACACCTGATAACAACGCTTAATTCTAATATTATATACATATTGTTGTATTTTGTTGGTCCGACGATGAGCAGGAACCAGACTTTATTGATCTAATGACGCGACGCATTCGGCAGTCAAAAACGGAGTGTGTACAGAAGTATTGAGAGATCAATTTTTTAGTATATGCGAAAGAACGGAAAACGCAAAACTTAGGATAAGCTAAACGAGGGTTGCCAGATTGTTACATTGCAATCATTTGAGTCTTATTTGCAACATATTTACACACATACAAATATAAATAAAACGCTGGGGCACTCAGCAAGCTGAAACGTTGTAAAACAATTTCAGTTTATCGCGGGCGCTCGTCGTGATCACAACTGATCGGCGGAAACCGAAAATAAACCTAGAAGCATTTTGTTCATAAAGATAGGCACGCACCAAACAGTTTAGCAAATACTACTTTTAAGAAAATATAAATAATTATATATATCTCAATATATATGTTACATATATATATATGTATTTATATGAAAAGCATGTGTATTCAGTTATATAGATAAGATTAATAAGTTTGCGATTAATAAGTTTGCAACGTGTGATTTATATATTATTTATTTTTGGTTAATAAATATATGTATGTGTACATATATACTGACATAATTCAAATTTTAAACGGAAGTGTACATTTGATAAACCAAATTTGTGAGACAGAAACAAACATAAGAAAAATTCTACCAATCAGAAATTATATGGGAATCACACAAAAAATATAATTTCCTCAAATCATTAAATTATTTTAAATTTGTAGGAATAAAATATGTCAGAAGTGTGTGTGATTGCAGACGTTTCAGTTATAATAATGCCTGTGTGCCAAAACTGTTGTATCTTTGAAGCAGATTTATTAGATATAAATGAATGAAATAAGCGATGTTTGTTGCGAAGGGGTCGGTAAATGTTAACAATAAATGTTAACAAATATATGCTCGAATAGAATTTGAGCTCAGAATAGAATTGGATCAAGTGCAATATTCAGACAGAACAGTTTCAATCGAATAATTTGTTTTTGGCCTAAAGTAATTATAGTTTAGCTTTATATAATTAAGAGCATAAGACAAAATTATAGAATGAGCCTAATATGTGTTTCAAAACTTTGTACTTTTAAGAAACTACATTTCAAAAATGTCGCTTAGGTGAGTAAAGCTGAGGGTTTGCTAATTAATTACTTAAGCAAAATATTGTGGATTGTACGTGTGGAAGATTCGCGAAAATAGTTTTATTTAAAATTCACCACTTCTCACTCTAAAGACTTTAAAATAATGTGAATAATCTGTTTTAGCAACTGCGTTAATCTAAATAATTCCAATCTCGATGGTATGTCCTCTGACTTTTTATACCATCTGAATATCAATGTGGCAAACACCAAGGACACTCAGGATATACAAAAGCAGTTCGGAGATGTTCGGGTGCGTTGTTAATGGGGAAATGAATGTTTGCAAATAAACACGAATTGCTGCTTTTGCCCGTCTTCTCGGATCAGGTCATCTGCATGGGCGGCACTGGTAGACGGATGCTGGAACTGGCTAAATATCTGCGTCTCAAGTTGGGTATAAGTGGCGAAGGCGAACCGATCGATTTATGTGAGGCTGGACATCGCTATACCGTCTACAAGGTGGGACCTGTTCTGTGTGCCAGCCATGGTGTCGGTTCCTCGACGTGTTCCGTCGTCCTCCACGAGCTGCTTAAGCTGGTGAAGTATGCCAAGTGCCAGGATCCCATATTCCTGCGCATTGGCACATGTGGTGGACTGGGAGTTAAGCCAGGCACTGTTGTTGTGACCAAGGATGCCTACAACGGCTACTTGAGAAACGAACATGAGATCGTAAGTGTTCCAAAAAACATATACACTCAAAAAACAAATTTATAGTTTTATACTCAAATGGAAGACACCAGGATTGAAATGTTCTATAGATTGGTGTAACTTGATTCTGATTGTTAATCATAGCACTTAAATTCTGATACCACCTTAAAATACAACTAAATCATCTGGAATCATAAGTATAAGTTTTCTTCATACTCATCTTACAAAATGAATATTGATTTATATTTAGCTAAACAAAATTCAAAGAACAAATTCTAACTTACATTTGAAATTCGATACAAATTGTACTTGAACTGAGCTATTTTTTCAAGTGTTGCAGAGAATGCAGTTATTCAATGTTGTTGTTTCTGTATTCGTAGCCGATTCTGGGAGAGCGTGTTGTGCGACCAGCTAGTTTCCACGAACAACTCATTGAGGACATTGTAAAATATGGTACCCAAGCGGATGATGGTTTCGAAACCATTAAGGCGAATACGATGTCCACCGATTGTTTCTATGAAGGCAAGTATGGCGCAATATTGTTTTCAATATTCTTAGCATAAGGATTTGGGCATTCTCGGTTTGATTTCTGCATAAATACTACATATTACTCGATGCTGGGTCGCTTCAAAACTTCCCAGATTTTATTATAGTATTTCGAGCAATATAACCAATTTTATATACAGGTCAAGGTCGCACCGATGGCGCTGTGTGCCAATACACAGAGGAGCAGAAAATGAAATTTCTGCAAACGGCTTATGAGAAAGGTATACGAAATATCGAAATGGAGGCAACAATGATGGCCTCATTAACGCTCATGGCTGGAGTCAGGGCCGGTGATATTTGTGTAACTTTAGTTAATCGCCTAAATGGCGATCAGGTGAGTCTTATCTAATATTTAGCCATTTCCCCTCGACTGGCTGTCGTTATTATTATCTTTAATTTTATTTTTTTTTTACAGGTAACAATCACAATGGATGAAAAACACGAGTTCGAGGAACGTCCATTTCTAATTGTGGGTCGTTTCATTAAGCATCTGCTGAACAACTGATTATATCAGATGAAATATGTATTATATTCATATGTATGTATATATATCCATCAAAATTAATAAACACAGTCATGGCATGCATATATTAAATATGACAGCTGTATTTATTTAGGCCTTTTTTCGTACATCTTATAATTCCTGGATCAGAAGTTTGTTTTTGCTGCTGCCAGAGTTGTTGTTGAGGCGCAACTCTGGCTGTGATGTGGGCATTCCCTGCTGCATCATCATCAGTGGCAGCGGCATCTGTTGCTGCTTCTGACCGATATCCGAATTTGAATTGGGATTGTGATTGCTGCCCTTCAACTTGCCGAGAGCCTCAGCGGCGCTAGCTATTTTACTCTTAACCACACGATTCGGCTTGACCAACTCGGCCAAATCATATTCTTTCTTGGTCTGCACGACCTTTGGCTGTGGCTTTGCTTTTGGCTTTAATTGCTCTTTTTGATCCTTCTTCTCTTTCTGGCTCTTCTGTTCCTTCTGGTCCTTCTGCTCCACCTCCTCAATGATCAGGCGTGTGGCATTCGACGGCGCCAGCTCTCCCAGCTCTTGACGCAGCTGCTTCAGCATCTTTTGAGCGCTTGCATTGTTCGACTCCAGATTCAGGACACGTTCATATAATCCATAAGACTGGCAATGATATTTTAAGCATTAGAAACTCAATCAACACTACACATAGAAAGAGAAGAATTTAAGTAATTTTGAAGATTGGTTGTCCTTGCTAAATTGGATTAAATGTCGCCTTTGGAGCTATATGAACTATACATAATTGTTCAGCTGAATAGACGGGCATTAATGGATTACACTATTTGTACCCTGCATAATACCCTGCACAAGTGTATAAAAATGGGTATACTCAATACCTCCCGACGTCTTCCGTAGCCATAGTTGGCATCCGCCAGGCGTAAAATTGCCTTCACATTATCCGGCTCAAGGCGCAGACAAGCCTCACAATCCTCCATAGCTGCCACATATTTATGTTGCTTCAACTCTGTTATGTTGTGCCACAAGAAACACACAAAATAAAGTTAATAATAGAATGGGACTCACAGTAGCCATAATAAATATACTTACGTGATATGGCTCGATTGTTGTAGGCGCGTGCTGCCTGCTCCGGATCGTACTCTATAGCGAGGGTATATTCACTTACGGCTTGATCATAATCCTTAACTTTAAAGTACTCATTGCCACGCAGACGAAACCTGTAACGAATACCATTCTATATAATATATAAGTTAAGAACAAGGCCAAGGCATATCAAAAGGCATATGACACGCGCGCCTTGGCAGCATTTTCCACTAACGATGGACTCAGTCGCAAATACCCAGATCCAACGATCACAGCCAAGGCACCACAGAACCACCGTGGGACTCCGACGCGACACCCGACACCTCCACCCATCGGACAACAGCGACAAAACAACAACAGACAAGAGCCAGTAGTCCGAGGCTGATGAAAACGATCAAGTTTTTTTTAAAAATAAAAAAGCAGTTGAGAATCGCTTAATTTGCATTTCCACAGATTCCGTTGAATATTTTTCCAATATTTGCTGTAGTTTAGTTATTTATGATTTTTAGATTGTATAACAAAAATAAAATCTGGAATTTGACTTTATGAACGGATAATTGTCTATAGCAAAATTGCAGCTTAAGAATCGTTTCAAAATAAAAATGAAAATGAGAAGATTAAAGACAAATAAACTGAATAAACTAATTTTTCTACTTGTCTCGCTTTTTTTTTGTTGTTGTTTTTCTCAGTGCAGTTCTACTCACCTCTCGGCATATTGCTCCCGCTCCAATTGACTTAATTTCTTGAGCTGCTCGGCCAGACGCTGCTCAGCGACGGCTTGTTTGTCGATGTGGCCGGCTTTTGATTTTGCTACTGCTGCAGTCTCAAGTTGGTTGGCCCTCACTTGGACCTGCTCTTTGGTGCGCTCCTCCTCGAGATCCATGCGCAGTATCTCCTCATCTGGATCGTATTTGTCCCATTTGTTGTAATCTGTGGACTTGATTCGATTTGTCTGCTTCTTCGCGCTGATGTTTGTTTTGGCAGCAGATTCAGCTTTTTGTGTTTTTGTATCTTTATCCTCTTGTTTGTCTATCTCTATTTTGGATGGCTTTCGAATAGGCGGCAGATGGGTTGAATCCTCCTTTAACACACTTAGCGCGTGATCCTTGTACTTAATGTGTTCTGTCCAGTCCTGTGTAAAAAAAAAATATGACAATTAAAATTTGTACACTAAACAATAACACATTTTTATTTAAGATTTCAGATACATCAATACTACTACTACACAACAGATTATGAAATTGTAGATTTGATTCCAAGTTGTTAATTCACTTCAAGAATATAATCTTCGATTAATATTTTTGACTTACATATATGGGTTTTAGTTCTTGCACATCCAGCGTATCGCTTGTTCGTATTTGCTCCTCGTAGCGAAACATTTTGCTGTTGGGTTTTAGCTCTTTTAATTTCTCCTCGGCACAGCGCGTCAAATCCGGATAAAATCCTTCCTCGCCGGAACGCAAAATCATCACTATTTTCTCCATTTCGCGTGGATTTTCACATTTCTTCACGTAATCAAAGTCCAGATGCCCAACGGGTATTTGATATTTTTCCAATAATCTTTTCTTTTCCATATTGAATCTTATTCCGAAAACAAAACAAAAACTGAATTATAGAATTGTATTTGATAAATGTCACTCAGCTGTTATTGATTTAACAAAGTTTGTTTTCGCCTTTTTGACTGCTTAACAACGGCTATCAGATATTGAAATTTCAGCATTTATGCGTAAAGTTAAGATTCCAAGCAGTCTGCTAAGTTTTTTTTTTTTTTTGTTTACCTTGTTTTTATTACAGTTTATTTTAAAAGTTAACTCATCCGTGATATAATTTTCGAAAATGCCGCAAACTACTTGCGCCATTTATAAGCACCAAACGAAATGCTCACCAAAACGCATTTTGCAGCACTGTACCGAAGCCGATAGTAAGAAAAGTATGTTTTGGCAGACATTTCCTAACGAGGTTCTATGGTGTAATGGTTAGCACTCTGGACTTTGAATCCAGCGATCCGAGTTCAAATCTCGGTAGAACCTTCAAACTAATTTAATTTTTATTGTTTTTTTCTTTTCAGTATTTTCTGTTAGAACTCCAAAATTTCTGTGTACTTCATGTAGATGATATGTTCAGAATGAAATATTTTCCGAAAATGTTTTCGCATTTTGGTTTTTTATTTCAATCACAATGCGGCAAGGCGATTTATTTTACTATATTCAGCCCTGTCAGCACGGTTCTATGGTGTAATGGTTAGCACTCTGGACTTTGAATCCAGCGATCCGAGTTCAAATCTCGGTAGAACCTGTTAGGAACAACCATTGTTTCTTTCTTTTTTTTATAAATATTTTTATGCTATTTCAAAAATAAAAAAATGTTTAACTTGTGTAACCAACAAGAAAATAAAAAGTTTGTTTTCGCCCAACGTGGGGCTCGAACCCACGACCCTGAGATTAAGAGTCTCATGCTCTACCGACTGAGCTAGCCGGGCACTTGCGAGCGCTGCGTCAGTGCTCCTAAGTAAACCGTCTCCTGGTAGACAGCTGGAAATCTCCAATTAGATTTTTATGTACTAAGTTTGCTCAAAGCATTTAATTTCACTTAAACAAACTTAATTTTAAAAGATAAAAAAAGAAGTTAAATTACTAAAATATAGTCGAAAATATTCTGCGTCTTTCTAACATAAATTTACTGATTCAATCGATTTTAATATAAGTTGCTTTTGAAATTAACATATAAATTGTAGACAATTTTATATAACAAACTTTTTCATCTTTCTTATCAAAAAAATTATATAGAAAAATAAACTTTAAATGTGTGATCAATTTAAAATTAATAATTTACTTTGAATTTACAGGAGACAATTTGAAAATGCTTTTTACTAATTAATTGGCTTTTAAATTGTTAATATTATATTTTTAAGAATCAGATGTATGATTTAGTATATTTTTTAATATCTTATTAATTTAATTGAAGATTCTATCAATTTAAACATTTTGTACAGGTAAAATTTGAAAAATTGCATAAACACATATAAAGAAATTGTAGAAAAACGTTCTTAAAATGCTATTGGAATTATTCGATGGATATGCTGAGAGTAAATGATACATGATAAGTGATAAAGATCATTTGTCTTTTCTCCATGCTTTTAAGTCTGATCGTTGCACTTCTCGAGCACCGTATAAACGTCTCCGTAGCGCTGGACACGCTCGAAGATGTCATCATCGCTGCCACTGGAACTGGACGACTGCAAATCCAATGATTTGGCATCGGTCTGCAAAAGGGCGGCCAACTTTGCCGACGGACGATAGTAAACCGAATAGCGACTATCAAAGCTGCGATGACCCATGTGATATTTGATGAACTTGAGCGCCCGCCGCTGCCCAATGATGGGATTAAGCGCATGCTCGGTGAGCGTAAAGTTGCCCACGCTCGAATTCGAGCTGAAGCTCTGCTGGCTCTGTGACTGATCTGATCCGGGTGCATAAAGTAGAATGCCCTTGTTAGTTAACTTGGGACGTTGAATTGGAGTAGTATCCGCATCTGGCTCTGCCGGAGACTGTGCAGCTGTAACTGGAACTGGAGCTGCCTCGCAGCCCGTTGTTGATGTGACCACCGTGCAGTCGGCCTCACCATCGGGCAGATCGATGGACTCTAAACTGCATAAATCAATCAGAGCAAGGGAACTGCTCGCTGCCACAGACTTTTGTATCTGTTTGGCACCAGCGACGTCATTGGACAGTGCCGTGGAATTACAGGCAACGCTCTGATTGTTGAAGATCGTCGACTGCTCGGGAATCTGCTTGAGTGAATCTTTAGCGGGTTTCTTCGTTGCCCGTTGCCGCAATTTCCTACGCTCCGCATAATAAGATTTCTTGGAGAGCGCCAGCGCTAGTTTCAGATCCTTATCATTATTATCATCCGTCACCTCTTCGTCCTCTTGATCCTCCACGACGTCGTCGTCTCTATTGTTGCTCTTCTCTTTTGTTGTGGTTTTCCTTTGCGTCTTGTTATCATCCTGAGATTTTTCACTGGATTTGTCCATTGAATTTTTTGCTTTGCTGCTTTGGACTTTCTTGGCCGCCTGCTTCTTAAGGCTACTGGGTGGATTGGGTTTGACAAAGGTTTCCCTAATTTGTTTTGGCATTTTGGTTATATCGGGTTTGGTGACGGTCTCCTTAATCTGCGTCAGAGTCTTATCTGTTTTATTAGGTGCCGGCGTGGCAATTTCGGTGTTTGGCTGACTGCCCAACTTGTTTGGGATCTTAGCAGGAGTCGCTTTCAGAATGGATTTCGGTATCGCTTTGCCAGGTCTGGATTCCACTTCAGAGAAGGTGACCAGTGCTTTAGTTTTCTCTGCCAGTTGCTTTCGGCTGGTTGTTGGCAACTCCTTCGTATCATCTTCATCCACATCGGATTCCACTTTTATGAATTCGATTTTTTGCTTTGCAATCTGTTCGCGGGTCATGCTGCTTTTGGGTGTTTCGAGCAGGGGCCCAGGATCTGGACTGCTACGATTCTCAACGAGCCACTCCTCCGTGGAGCTGTTGGCAATGTGCAACACTTTGGAACAAAGTCGTTCCTTAGTGCAGCAGTTGCAATCAGTTTCGAGCAGACGGGGACGCATGTCCTCCTCGCAGTTATTCTGACATTGCAGCTTGCGAACGATATGCTTGAAATGCATCGTGCTGTGCATGGATCTCGTGCTTAGTTGATGATGGTGACGATGATGATGATGGTAACTGCGATTGCGGTGACTCTGATGAGTGCGATAGGAGCAGTAGGGATAGGCCGTCGTCTTGGAGAACACGCGCCTAACGCAAGCACTACAATTGCAACCACCAGCGGCACGCTCATCATCGCTGGAGGAAGAGCACGATGTGGATGAGGGAAACAATGGCGAACTGTCGAGACGCTTGTGCAACTGTTTGCGCCGACTCGGCTGTCCATTCGAAATACTGACCGCCTTGGCATATGGATAATGCCGTGGACTCGTATGATAAATCAACTCCCGTTCGCGCTTGCGTCTGTCACGACGATGAAGGACTGCCTGCATGTGACGGCGATGCTCCTGTTCCTCATCACAGCCATATTTGGCCCGCAACTCGTCGCGTTTCCTCGGCAACGTGCGATACATTTTAATGGTGGTCATGGGACTCCGGCTGCTGCTGCACTTGGTCACCGATGAGGGCGAGGTACGTTTGCGACTGGCCCGTATATACCGAGCTGTGTCCATCGAGTGCATTGATTCCGTTTCACTGCCGCTCGACAGACAATAGTGTCCAGTGTGCGCCTTATGGCGCTTCTTCGGCGACGCCACCTGCAGCAGCGTCTTGTCACCATATGCGCTATTATGACGCCGCATCCAATCACCCACGTGCTGTTCGATCTTCTGGGCATCGAATGTGTTCAGAATGCGATCCAGTCCAGCTTCCTTCCATTTGCGCACATGCTCCTCGACAATGGGCAACGTTTGATTGAAGATCTCCTTGTTGTCGCCGCTGCAGAGCATTTGCGTTAGTTCAGTTTTACTCATGAATGCCGTCGTATTGTTGACATCCTCTTCCACAGTCTCCTCGTCGGCCTCCTCAATGCCGTCGTATTCGTCTTCGTCGTCTTCATCTTTATATAGCTGATCAATCGCGTGCACTTCAATTTCTTTGCCTTCGTCAATATCCTCGTAACGCTGTGCAAAGAATTGGGTGCGTCGGAATTTAGAGAAGCGAATTGCAAATAACGGATGTTTGTTTTGAGCTTACCTTGAGAAAACTTGACCAAACTTTTGAGCGCTCGTACGCCAGCGTTTCCAATTGTTCCTCATCGACTAATATGTGCGACATTTTCGCTGATAATTTAACAAATTGCAAACGGCCAGTTTGTTCAATTTTTTTAGTCTGTTTGCTTTGTCGCTTCTTTTTCGAAAAGTGCTGCCAGATCGATGGCAGATTTCATTTCTGGTCTCACCTTTTTTGTATTTATCGAGACACAAGTTATCGACTGCTGCTACCTTTCCACAGCTAATTTGATTACACATGTAAGGCAGACCTGATTAAAGAACAAACAAACAGATTTGATAGAATGCATTAATATTATCAAATAAATAAATAATGCTTCAAATATTGCATATTGTTGTTGATTTTTTTTCGTTGTACAATTGACCGACCACCACAGCTTATCGCACTTATCTAGCGACCTGGCGCATAATTGAAATTCCAATTACGCTTTGCATTTGTTTTTATTCTTTATTTTAAAGTTGCATATGTTTTACATTATATTAATAATATTAATATTGCAGATAAACAAACGAATACATATTTGTATGCCTAAATAACTGTTTGAATAAAACATTTGCCACATGGCTCAGTTTGATGTGTACGTACATATACAACTCTATATACATATACATATGAGTACATATATATGCATATATAGATAAACTTTCGATTTTGTTTGTTTGTTTTTTTTTAATGTTTTCATAAGTCTAACGCTGCTTGCTCCATTGGCCACTATGTCGGAATATATAGGTTGTTGTTGGTGTTGCTGTTGTTTTTGTTGTCGGGTGTTGTTTGTTTGTCAGGGGTTTGTGTTTTCATTTCGTTAACACATATAGTAAGTATATAGTATATATAAATATATATATATATATTTAGATGTTTTTTTGATTTGGAATTTTGGTTGCCTATTTGCGATTGCGTATGGCGCGATCTATGATATTATTGATGCGCGTCTCCGAATAGCCCGGCACAAGCATATGGATGAGCTCCTTCATAAACAGATCACTGACGCCGGGCGTGGAACGTTCGGCCAGCTCAAAGACGGACTTCAGATCGCCAATATCACTGCCCACACCGACACCGTGGACACCCTGCAAATTCTTGCTGCTATTGTTGTACTTCCGCTGTATATCGCTCAGCACGGGGAAGAGCAAATTGTTCAAGCAAGCGCTATTCGTGCTGTGCTGATGCTGATGATGATGATGCGACAGTCGCTGGCGAGGATCGTTGGCCAGCTGCTTGCCATGATTGGATAAATCGTTGTTGTGTTGTTGTTGTTGCTGTTGGTGTTGCTGCTGCTGTTGTTGGTGGCTGTTGCTGCTGCTGCTGCCTGTTGCATGGAATGATTCACGATTGTTGCTGCGACGCTGCTGCTGTTGATGTTGCTGCTCCATATTCAGTGGCATGCCCAAGGAGGCGCGTCGCTCCTCCACCTGATCCAGCGTGGCAGAACGTGATTGACGCAACTCTGGCTTTGAGTTGGCACGCTTCTGTTGCAGCAACTCATTGGCCGACGTCGAGCTGCTCACCTGCAATTGCTTTACTCCGGCGCCGCCACCTCCACCTCCTGCACCGCCGCCGCTTCCTGATCCGCCTGTTGGTGTTGCATTAAGCATTGTGGTTGTTGTCGCTTTGCTGCTCAAGTTATTGTTGTTGCTATTGTTGTTGTTGTTATTGTTGGGCGCGGGGGAGTCATTGCCAGGCGTTGTTGCTGCCGCTGCTGCTGCCGCTCCTGCTCCAATACTGTTGCTCGTGGATGCGGTGCTGGCGGGATTGCCCGCTGGTGAATGTGTGGTTGCCATTAGTTTCTGCATGGTAAGCTCGTGCTCCTGCAGCTGGAAGCTGTTCACACCGGCCCGTGGAGCACTATTGATGTGCAATCCCTTGACGGTCATGATCCAGGGTTCATCGGCACTGCTGCCGCTGCCGCCACCGCTGCCCTGCTTGGCATCCGAATCAGAATCGGAGTTCTCCGATTCAGTTTCACTCTCATCGCCCTTGGAGAGTTTCCATTTCTTGAAGCGATCGATTAGATCAATCAAGTAAGCATTTTTTTTGGCCTTCTTGATGAACGGATATTTGAGCAGCTCCTTGGCTGTGGGACGATTCTCCGGATCCTTATTTAAACACGCTTCGACAAAGTCCTTAAACGACTTCGTATAATTGCCCGTAAGCTGTGGCGGATTATTCTTGGGTATGAGGAAGAGCACACGCATCGGATGCAGCTCCGAATTGGGTGGTTCTCCTTTGGCCAGCTCAATTGCCGTTATGCCCAGCGACCAGATGTCCGCCTTGGAATCATATTGTGACTGCTTAATCACTTCCGGTGCCATCCAGAAGGGTGTGCCCACAAACGTGTTGCGCTTGGATGTCGTATTCGTCAATTGGCCGGCGACACCAAAATCCGCCAGCTTCACATCGCCTAGTTCGCTGAGGAGTACATTGGCCGCCTTAATGTCCCGATGCAGTTTGCGCTCCGAGTGCAAGTAGTCGAGACCCTTTAACACCTCCCTCAATATGATCCCAATGTGCATCTCCTCAAACGAACCGGCCTTCATCAGATCCAAGGCGGAGCCACCGCCGAGATACTCCATAATGATCCATAGCTTGGTGCCCTTCAAGAAGGAGCCATAGTATTTCGTCACATATGGTGAATCGCATTGGGATAGCACCATTATCTCCTGCTGTATATCATCGATTTCATCTTCTGCCTCCTCCAAATCAATGATCTTTATGGCCACCACCTGCTGCGTCCGATTATCGATGCCTTTGAAGACCTCCCCGAAGGAGCCTTTGCCAATTCGCTCCTGCTTGGTGAAGATTAGCTCGGGGTCCACTTTCTCTGTCCAGGACATGACTTGAAATTTTTCAATTAATTTTAAAAGCGAGAAATGTCAGCAAAGTAAAAAAAAAAGAATTACAAAGCAAAACTGAGTTACTGTTCTCTTTCTCGCTCGCTCTCGCTCTCGAAGTTGGTTGCGTTGCACTATTTTTCGAGTAACTGTAAGTCGCTTTGATATTTGCTGCACACACACAAACACACATCAACTATTTGCTTGCCATTTATGCAGCAACATTTATTCAACGTATGTGCTGTGTGTGTTTTTTGGTGGAAACTCGTGGCGCACCAAGGCACTAAAATTTTCGCAGTTGATTTTTGTTGGGTTTTCTTTGCTTTTGATTCTTCTACTCTCCGTGCTGGTTGTTGTTGTTGTTGCGCTGCGCTGGCTGTGCTAGTGGTGTGTGCCAAAAACAAAAAACAAAAATTGATAAATAAATTTTGAAATCATCGATATTTCCAGCAGAACTATGCCAAATCAGTGCTTATAACTATCGATTGCCAAGACAAGAGAGATGTTTGATATTTGATACAAAAACGCAATTCAATAAGAATATAAGAGAATGTATTTGCAAATTGTTTATTGTAAAATTGACTGATAATAAGAAATTTATAAATATTTTTAGCACTTTAATAAATTCAAAGTCAGATATTGCGTCATCGTCTTTTTCTGTTATCTTTTCGCCGTTATTATGGAGCCAATCAATTTTAATCAGTTTCTCTGACTCATGTGTTAGAGCTGCGACTACGTAATCTATTGTCTAAATTTGAACTGTTGTACATGGCATTTAAAGATAAGAAGTTAACCTTAGCAATTGCAGCTTAGCGAATTTGGAAAAAATTAAGGACTTTGAGAATTAATTTTTCACTCATGGAATTTAATTAAAACAGACAAATTTGCGAACAGAGTTTCTATATTGTCCGCGATGATATTTATCGTAACTTATTGCATTAAATATACATAATGTTAAAGGAATTTTTGAATAAAGCTCGTTTCATTTGAGTCAACCCTGTAATGTTCTTTCATATCGAGTGCGCCAAAACATATCGATATGCACTGGTCATATCGATATACTTACCCATATCCCTATCACTGCAGAAGCACGTAAACGTAATTTTGATAATGATTTCGTAAAACTAGTTCCCAGTTTATTATTCAAATAGTTAAAACGCAACCAATGAATGAAAGTAGCATCGCAGCTACCGTGACAATTGCCCAAGGAGCTGGTCAAGTCCGATGAGCATAAGTAAACCGAACAAAAATGATGTACCTGCGCCGTTTCTTTACCCAAGAACTGTGTCCCGCCACTCAGAGCGATCTGCTCAGTTGCCTGCAACAGGCGCCGCAACAGCTGTTTACAAGTGGGTTTGCTGGCGCCCCCGGCCTAGAGAGTCTCTCCTGGTTACACAATCTAGCACCCTGTTTTCCACTGCGTGGCGAACAGATTCAGGTCATTCATGAGCCGCAGCATTTCTATCAGACGCTGATGCAGCGCATCGGCCAGGCAAAGAAACGCATTGTGCTCGCAAGCCTGTATTTGGGCAACGGTCAGCTGGAGAACAGCTTTGTGCAGACGTTGCGTCACAGCTTAAAGGCGGAATCAACGCTGCGCCTGAATGTTCTTCTCGATTTTAATCGAGGCACACGTGGCGCCGCCAATTCCAAGACGATGCTGCTGCCCCTCGTCCGTGAATTTGGCGAACAGGTGCAATTCTCCTTGTATCACACACCAGATCTGCGGGGCATGACCAAGAGATTGGCCCCACCGCGCTGGAACGAACTGTTGGGACTACAACACATGAAGGTTTATCTGTTTGACGATGCGTTAATCATTTCGGGCGCCAATTTGTCCAATGATTACTTCACCAATCGCCAGGATCGCTACATACTCATCGAGGACAAACCGCTGGCAGATTTCTACGCGCAGTTCATTGAGCGCGTGCAGGAGTTCAGTTTGGCTGTGAGCGCTGATGCGACGGAGGGACTTCATCGCAATTGGCGCATCCTACCTTACGAGGGCACCAAGGAACAGTTCATCAAGCTTGCCAAGGAGCGCATAACGAATTTTGTACAGGACGCGTATACGCAACAGTTAAAGCTCAGGGCCGAGCAGAGCACGCAGGCGGACACGTGGGTTTTTCCTCTGCTGGAGATGGGTCAAATAGGTATCCATCATGACAGCGTGATCACCAAGAAGCTGCTCTCCAACTGCATCGCTGGCTCAAGACTCAAACTCGCCACGGGCTACTTCAATCTGACGCAGGAATACATGGACACCATCACACACAAGTGCCTGGCCCAGTGCAGCATTCTAATGGCCCATCCGAATGTAGGTGCTACAAAGATTAATTCGGATTTTGATTACACTTGTAATCAAGATGATTAGCCGAGTCTGTCTGTCTTTCAGTAATTTTATTTATTATTTTTAGATATTTAAATTTAATATAGTTTATAATTCGTTCTAGTAACTAAATCCAAATCCATTCCTAACAGAACCCATTATTATTAATATTAATGTATATTATCATAATTTCCTTGTAGGCCAATGGGTTTCAAGGTGCAAAAGGACCGGCCGGCGGTATTCCCGCAGCATATACCCTAATTGCGAAGAGCTTCTATGAGAATCTGGTGCGACGTAAGCAAAATCATCGTGTGAACTTCTTCGAGTATGAGAAACCCGGCTGGACATATCATGCCAAGGGTCTGTGGTATTACTTACCCGATGCCCGACTGCCCAATTTGACGCTAATCGGATCGTCGAACTTTGGGGAGCGTTCCGTTAATCGAGACCTCGAGACGCAAGTGTGTCTGGTCACAGCGAATAAGAATCTGAGTCAACGTCTCCAAGACGAGGCGGATCGCCTTTATGATATGTCAACAACTGCGGAGCGTGAGATCGTCCAGAGGAGCGTTCCCCGTTGGGTGCAGGCTGTGGTGCGAATATTTCGAAATTTCTTCTAGTTAATCAAATCCGAAAAAGCATATAGTTCAATTTGTTAATGTTTAGTAGGGGCCAGTTACTATATATAGTGTCTAAATACGTGTCTCGTGTTTGGAGTTGTGTTTTTCTTTGTGTGTGTATATTGCTGTAAACTATTTTTTTTACTCGCATATACAGAAATAAATTACACGGTCAATTTTATTTTAATAGTTTTTAATTTATTGGATTTTTTTCTAATGAGTGCAAAGTGCACAAATTAATATACTGGAGGAAAGGGCTTAAACCATTAGAGCTACGGAGTTGAACTTAATCTGATGATATGTTTTAAGCTAATGATGCCTGATTGACCTCATACAAATATTGTTTGAAGAATTCGCCCTATGAATAAACAATTGGTATGAGGTTGTAGCCTTTTGGATGGTATTATAATTTTGTGCCAGCACCACCTGCTACTGGATAAAGCCATGAATACTCAGTGAAACAAAAGACATATAAATTTAATTTTTTTAAAGCATACAAAACCATAATAAACGTTGTTTCTTGTTATTGCTTACGATTGCATGGTTGAAAAATTTAAATATGTTTGTTATTGAAAATTAATCCAACTTGTCGAGGAACATTATTCCCGTGCAAAGCTATGAGTTACTTAGTTTATGAATGAACTAGGTGGCAACTCTATATAACGGTACATGTTTTCTAATTTTGCTTTGTTCTTTTTCGTGCTCTTCGACGTACTTGGAAATTTCCATAAAGTAAGAAGAGAAGAAAATGAAGTGTGTGAAAAGATAAAAGTTGGCTACGGAATTGTAAATTCAAGGAGACAAAATGAGTCAAGCCGAAGATCAGCCTTGGTTCTTGAGTAATTTTGAATATGGCAGCGGAATAGCAGCACTCCATATGGAGATCGAGCATTTTTATAATTATATCGTCAACACACGAACGGAGTACATGATGCGCCTGGAGGCCGTGCAGCGCATTGAGAACCTGTTACTCGGCCTTTGGCCGGAAGTGTCCATTGAAGTTTTTGGGTCATTTCGCACGGGCTTAAATCTGCCGATTTCAGATATTGATATTGCTGTCAATCAGTTTTGTTGCCATGGTTGTGGTCCACTGATGGAGCTGAAAGCGGCGCTAATAAAGCGAGGCATTGCCACGGATGTCCTTGTGCTGGATAAAGCCTCCGTGCCAGTTGTCAAGTTTACGGAGCATATAACGCAAATTAAATTCGACATCTCATTTAATAAGACGACGGGCGTTAAAGCGGCCGAATTGATTCAACGGTACATTGAACAGTTTCCGGAGCTGCCTAAGCTGGTCATCGTTCTTAAGCAATTCCTCATGCTGCGAGGACTCAACGAGGTTTACAGCACCGGAGGGATTTCCTCGTACGCCATTACGCTCATGTGCATCAGTTTCCTGCAGCAGCACTCCTCCAAGAATGACAACAAGTTGGGCAGGTTGTTGCTCAAATTCTTAGAATTTTATGGACGCAAATTTGATTACTTTAAATATGGGATTTCAGTGCGCGGCAGAGTGGAGAAGTGCGTCCTTCAGGCGACACTCGGCGAGTACAATTGGCTATCGGTGCTGACCATTGAGGATCCAATAACGCCCACCAATGACATTGGACGCAGCTCTTTTGCTGCACTGGACGTAAAAAAAAGCTTTGAAATTGCGTTTTTAAAGCTATCCAAGCTGGTGGACTTGGATTCATCCAAAGTTAGTGGCTCGATGCTTGGGAGCATAGTGCAAGTGCCTTTGTCCGTGATAAACTACCGCAATTGGGTGCAGCTCAAATTCCGGCATTTGACCAGTAACGGAACGACGCCGCCTTTAAATGTCCTTTAGCAATATGCTCTTAAATTGCACTTGCAGTCGGGGGATGAAAATATGAAGTTGGATGAGAAAGGAATTCCCAGCAATCTGAATAATTTGGAATGTTAGTTTAAAGTTATCCACAACTGATATATAATAGATTTCGAACTGTTTATTTAGAATTACTTTATGTATACTATTAATTACTTTATTTTGAATTTTGAATTTTGTATGTATGTTCAGAAATATACAATTTTAGCTATTGATAACTACAAAGATAATTTGTTTATTATTGACATATAATAGCAACAGTTGTAAAAGTTTATTTGATTCACCCGCCTTTTAAATCATTTCGGCATGCGATATTAACGATATATCGATAACAATCGTTCGGCTTTTTGCAAGAAAAAAGTGTGAGGTGACAACAGCTGTTCAAGTGTTGTGTAAACGCAGGCCCTCGAAAAAAAATTGTGGGCGCCCGCATTTTCATAATTGTAATTATCTAGTTGTATATTGGTATATTTAAGTGATGTTGAACATACTGCGACAGCGCCAGGCGACGATCGCAAATGCCGCGCAGCGTTCCCTACACACGACAACCTTTCGGCCGGGCTATATTGTGCTGTAAGTGTTGAGATGCCGATGATGAAATGCAATGAACACATTTTTTGCCGCTTGCAGTGTGCCGGAAATCGGTGAAGAGGGTCAGATGGGCGAGGGTTTGCTGACGCCAAATGGCTTGCCCGCGTTCAGTGACATCACCATCGAGATGTGCCTGGGCGCCATCGGGCAGCAGGCGTCCGCCGTGGAGAAATCCGTCAAAGCGCTGGAGGAGCATATCAAAAGTGGCAAGCAACTGAAGAGTGCTGAAATTTATGGCGAACTGGATACAGTAACTGCACCCTTGGAGACAACATGGGGCGTGGCGAAAGCACTGTATCTGGGCAACAGCACGCTGATACCAACCAAATCCTATATGAATATACATGAAAGGGCGCGCAATGCACGTGCCGCCAAGTTTTGCAATAGAACAGTCTACAAATCTCTTCTCGAGCAGGTGGACAACGATGCTGGCGAGGCGGAGCAGCGATTACGTCAGAAGTTCTTGCTCGAAGGCAAGCTTAATGGACTATCGCTCAAGCCAGAGGCCCAGGATGGGCTCAAGGAATTACTAACACATTTGGGTCGCGAGCGAGGTAACTTTAAGAACAAGGTCAATATGGCGGTGCATGCGTTCGCGCATGTGGTTAATGATTTCCAACTGGTGCGCGACTTTCCGCCAACGTTGTTGGAGGCGACGGCACGTGATTCTCAACAGCCGCTGGAAGGTCCCTGGAAGATCACACTCCAGCCGCCGGTTGTCGATGGTTTCCTCAAGTACTGTCCGGATCGGCTGCAACGTTGGAATGTGTGGCGCGCCAATGCGGTGAAGGCCTCCCAGCAGCAGGACAAAGCGCTAGAGAACAGCACACATCTGGAGAAGATACGCGGCTTGCGCAAGCGTCAGGCCAATCTGCTGGGCTATGCCAACTATGCGGATATGTCGATGCAAACTAAAATGATTGGCAGCGTCGATAACCTAAAGCAAATCTTTGCCAAGCTACTGAAATTCGCTGGTCCCGCCCAAAGTGTGCAGCTGGAGGAATTACAAAAGTTCGCTAGCGCTAGTGGCTCGGATCATAAACTGGAGGCATACGATGTGACCTATTGGGCACGCAAACAGCTTGTTGCCGAGCAGCAGTTGCTGGAGGATAAGTTACGCGAGTTCTTCCCACTTCCCCGTGTGCTCTCCGGATTGTTTGCGCTCAGCGAGAAACTCTTCAATATACGCATCGTGGAGCAGCCCAAAACAGAAGTTTGGCATCCAGCTGTCAAGTTCTTTAATGTGTACGATGGCGATGCCAGCAATAGTTCAACGCCTGTGGGTGGATTTTATGTCGACTGCTACTCAAAGGAGCACAAGTTTGGCCGGAATAACGGCTGGATGGTGGGCATTAGGAACAGCAATAAATCCGCCGGCCTGAGTCCGCTCTGTGCGCTCATCTTCAACTTTACGGAGCCGACGCCGGACAAGCCCACGCTATTGGGCTATGACGATTTGCAAATGATATTCAAAACGTTTGGAACGGCGCTACAGCATCTGCTCACCCAGGCGGGCTACAGTGATCTGGCCGGACTCTCAAACATTGAGTGGGATGCCTCACAGGTGTCTGGTTATGTGATGAGCAATTTCCTCGACGATGCTTCTGTGCTACAGACCCTCTCCGGGCATTATGTCAATGATGAGATCATTAATGTGGAGCAGGCTCAAAAGATGCGCCTGCTGAAAACCCAACTGGCTGGCTATAATCTCTGCCAGGAGATCTACTTGGCCGATCTCGATGTGGAGCTGCATCGCTCCAGCGCCTTTTGGTTGGATGTGGTGCGCAAAATTTGGCCAGTGTATCAGTCCATGGCACTCGACAAGAAGGACGCACATCCCTGCTCCATGACCGACATATTTGCTGGCGATTGGGCGGCGGCACATTTTAGTCATTTATATTCCAAGCTGCTGGCCGCCGATATCTCGAGTAGCTTTGCGGAGCAGCGATCGGATGATCATTATGCCACAGTGGGTAAACGCTATAAGCAAACGTTTCTCAGCCTGGGCGGCTCGGTGCCTACGGCAGAGGTATTCCGCCGCTTCCAGGGCCGTGATCCCTCGGTGGAGGCACTACTTAAATCGCTGGACATATTCACACCCTCTCAGACCACCGAGAACAATTAATGTGTGTCCGGCAACTGCTCTTATCTAATGTGAGCTTTTAGTTAGTTTGTATTTTAGATAACGTTTTGGCATTAATAAATCGTCTTGTGGCGTAGATCAACAGAATTAATAGAGTCAACAGACGGGAACAGGTCTTATCAAGGAAAGGTGATACCACCTGATATAACCACTCGTATATACACTGTGACAAAACCGAAACATCTAAAATACATGTAAACGTTAATTTTCAAATATAATTTGTAATCAAAAACATCTAATTTTACAATTGCAAAAATAGGAAAAAAAAAAATTTTAATTCGAAAGATAAAGATTTCATCAGACAAATCGTAAAGAATGCAAAGAATTGTTAAATTGCCAAAAAATGTTCAGATTCGCCTCCCATTAATTGCAGTGTTTCAAGAGTCAGGTTATTAAATGATTTTTTTAATCAATAATATCATTAAAAATACAATCTAACCTCAATTAACCGGACAATTAACTGTATATTATAGCCTGGCTAAAAGAAGGGCAAACAAAAGAAAAGAAAACAGGCTGCACCCCCTTTTGTTAATACGCCTCTCGCTCCACTTATCACATTACTGTTTTTGCAGTGTAGAATGACTCTACAAGTAATTTGCTGGCACTTTAACAGTACAACATTTGCTGCTTTATTTAACAATATATATATATATACATATATATATATATATATATATATATATAATACTTTACGAATAACTTGCGTAAATTTATAACATTTCTCATTGCATGGCTCATCACCTGATTTGTTGTATATTTTCTTTTGGCGAAAGGAACAATGAACTCAATTGAGTTCTTTGTTTAAAGCACAAAAACCTGATTAAAAATTACTTTTGGTTGTATTTGATTGAATTCATTGGCAGCTGTTTCAGTTCAGTATATATTCGGACAGCCGCTCCAGTCTTGATCCGCTTTGGCCTTCCAATATCTGCCCGTGGACACATGCATGAATTCCTTGCTACCATCTATTTGCTGGCGCTTAAACCACCTGGGCTCATAATCTGGATAGGATTGCCCCTTGGCGGCTGCATGTTTCTCTTTGATCTCACGCTGTTTCCTCACTGCCCGCTGCTTCTCCTCCAGCCGCAGCTTTTCCTCATTGCTCCGGTCCCAATCGCCGTCCTCCATTAGACGCTGATCTGGTCGCAGCCGGGAATCAGTGGGTGCCACACGCTCCTCCGGTTCATTTAGCTGACACGCGAACTGTGGAAAGTTGTAGTACTTGGCCGCGTCTGGTGCCTCTGGACGCCGCTGCCAGGCAACTTTGTAGTTGCCAGTGGTGTAGCTGGGACTTTTGGGTGTGCCACTAGTTTGCAGCACGGGCGCAATCTCGACTTTGTCATCCCAGGTGCCGCGCACCACCCACTTGGCCTCGTTATTTCGATTGTAGACGACTCCCTTTACACTACGCTGCACCTCTCGTCCAAAGTACGAATAGGGTATGTAGTTCAGGACACATCTGTAGCCTTGAGCTGCATTGCTGCCAACGATCTCCATCTGACCCTCCAAATCAACCCAAAGTTTGCCTATAATAATGTTGTTGACAGTGGTTGTCACCCGGCGCCAGGAATAGCGACGTCCGCTACTGGGATACGCCAAATAAGCGCCACCAATGGGATTAACCTAAGATAGAAGTAAATGGAATGTAAATGAATCAACAATTGTATTAAGGTCATTCCCCACCCACCTGCAGGTAACTGCCACGAAACTTGCTCGTCATGGAGAACTCTTGCCAGGTGATCCAATCCCTGCCTTCGCAGTGGACCGCAGCAATGGGCGGATGATGCGACACCTGCTCGGCTACGCAGCGCCACCCGAGATCATCGGTGCGATCGCACTCATAGGTCTCTCCCAGGAGTGGGTTAAATGGTTTATTAATCCGACTTGCTGCCGTTGCATAGGCGGAAACTGTGAAGGCAGCTAGGTGAGCTAGCTGTTCGCACTCATCCGTGCAGGCGGCTGCAGTGTCCAGTATTTCCGAGTACTCATAATCCTCGACCAGGCGCTGCAACATGGAGATCGGCTCGTTAAAGTTAACTGGCATGGGTATCTTGGACAGATCCTTGCCGATGCAGTTCTTCATCAGTGACCACAGATTGAGCGGATAGTTGGCCTTATCAGGGACACGCGTCCGTCGACTTCTGGTTGCAACCACTTGTTGCTTGGCTTCGACTGCTGGAGCTGCTTTCACAACACTTTGAGTTACTTCGCCCTTTGCCCGTTCGAGTGACGTAATCCATTTTTGTTGCTCTGCTTCTGTCTCCGCCCGGATGCGAAAATTCTGCTTGCTGCCATGAATGGAAATGATAAAGGTGCAAGAGTCCACGTGTTCAATGTGCGCTGATTTCACAGAAATGGCACCCCGAGATGACTGATGATTGTCGACCTCAGATTGATCAAGATAGTAGCTGAGCACACCATTCGAGGAGAGCACAAACCAGCGACGCTGATAGCCCTTGACATAGTTTGTCCATTTTTGTAGCCAGCCCATCATCATGTCGCTCTCAACAGTCGCGTGATTTTGACCGTGATGTTTTCCTCCCCGCCCACGCTTTCGCATTTTTTGCGATGATCTGGTGCTATTGTTGTTGCTGCTGCTGTTGACATTTTTATTGCTGTTGTTGTTGTTATTGCTGCTGCTGCTGTTATTGTTGTTGTTCTCGTTGTTGGAGGAGGATTGCGATTCCAGGCGCTGCCTGGCTGTGGTGCGTGCGCTCGCGTCGACAGACATTTCTCAATTCCTTGCCAATAACCAAACACAATTAAATCGACAACGTCGTTTTTTGCAGTTCATACTATCTCTTATCTGCCAATGTCGTTGTTCTCGTTGTTGTTTTCGTTGTTGTTGTTGCCGTTATTCATTTGGGAGAGATAAGGTATGACAGTATTTAGCATTCACATGCATCGCTCGCCGCCTCAATATCGGACCGTTGTGAGTCAGTAGATTGGGCATTATTATCGCGCGGACGGTGAACAAATGGTGCTGCCGTTAGTCTCTTTACTTTTATGGCATTGCTTTTATCGTGAGTGGATTAACGGCAGATTAGTTAAATTGCTACAGTGACTGCTCCTCGGCTGAAACTGGTTTTGTTAGCGGCTTTATTTTTTACGATCGCAGAATTCATGCGCAATTCTCGGCGAAATTGTGAAAAATTGATGTTTAATAAAATACCAAATGGTGATTTAATGTTTTGAATAATCAAATTAAATACGGTCGAAGAAAATACTTGTTTTGCAGTGTTAAGAAGCAAATAAACAAAACGTACTTAAAAAACGAATAATTATTACTTGATTTTTTCTCTTTTATTTCTTATTTATGTGTGAAATGATCGCAAATGCACATTAACAACAACAAATAATAATAATCAAAATGTTTTAAATTGATAACTCTATTTTTAAAATTCAAAGTTAATTTTTCATCTCGATTGTAAAATATAAATTTTCTATGATCGCAGGATATTTTTACTTGGTTTGTTACGTATTTTTTTTCACAGTGCACACTTTTTAATTAAAAAATTTCATACGGGTTTCGAAATATCTATTTTTAGAATTGCTCAAAAGCATAATATACGAAATTTTGAAAATAAAGCAATAAGTCAACATACATTCTTGTAAAAATAGTGATTATATGCAATCAATAATATACAGTGTCTCACAGCTTATTTCGGCAGTGTCTACCAAAAATTTTAATTGCCTGCCATAAACTTATAATGCAATATTTTTCAAAAATTCCAAAGACCTATGGCAGGTACATATATTAACCACCATAATGACTATATGACCCCCATAAACTGGGGCTTAGCCACCTGCTATAATTTATGGTCACGGCTTATTTCCAATAGTGGCATTATGGACACCTGGGTGCCATAAAACCCGGATTTTTTACGTAAGGTTGATTATTTTCGGAATAAGTAGACCAATCGTTCGTAGTCAGTTTAGTTATATCCTGCATCTCGGGTGCCACCAGCCACCAAGGACTATGGACAAACGGACTACCATTGAGCAACGGAATCTCATCCTGGAACACTTAAAGATTGGATATTCACATCGCCAAATAGCTAAAATGGTAAATCTAAGCACCACAACTGTATTCAACATCATTCGGCGCTTCGTCGACGAAAATCGGATAGAGGACAAGGGCAGAAATGCACCAAACAAGATTTTCACCGAACAGGAGGAGCGGAGGATCATCAGGAAAATAAGTGTCATGGTATGGGCATCTATTGGTGTTCATTGAAACAACAATGGACAAGAATGTGTATTTCACTATATTAAAGGATAATTTACTCCAAAGTGCCGAGAAGCTAGGAATCCGGCGTACTTTCCAGATTTACCACGACAACGACCAGGACAACAGCCAAGCATAAGTCCGGATTAGTGCAGTCCTGGCATATCTGGAACTGCCCCCACAAGATAATTCCACAGGCCCAGTCTCCAGACTTAAATGTTATTTAAAATTTGTGGACTCTGCTGGAAAATACCATCCGGAATCACAGATCCGATCTCAAGAATGCTCTGCTGGATAAGTGGAGCAAAATCAGTCCAGAAACGATCCGGAAGCTGGTATCTTCCATGAATAATAGGTTAGGGGAAGTTATTAAGGCTAAATGATATCATACTAAGTGTTAACATCCTTATTTAAGTTTTTATACGCCCAATATATTACTTTTCTAAGACTGCCGAAATAAGATTTGACCTGTATTTTGGATAGATTTCAGTTTTTGACTAATTTAAGTTAATTAATTAATATTTTAATGAAAACTGAAGTTTCCTCTTCAAACGTGATATAACATAAAACAAATTGACATTTAAACATTTTGCGTTTGTTTAAACTTTATTAACTTTATAGCACTTTAAAATTTTTGCTAGACACTGCCGAAATAAGCTGTGAGACACTGTATATTTAGACTCAAAAATCCGGAAATTGTAATTTCTAAAAATTTATATTTATTGAGCGATCACTGTAATGTTTTATACTATAATCACTTCATTTTCAGTCTAGTGATTCCTACACTCAGATAAGAACAGAAGCAGGAAAAATGATTGATTTAAAGTGAGGATTTCAAATTCTAGAAAATTATAGTCTCTAAAAGTTTTACTTACACTGTTGTGTAATTGGTAACCATACATTTGTTTGCTTTATTTCAATTAATACAGGACATACATTTTTCGCATTTAACATATTCACCATGCGCTGTTTATAAATACATACATATATATTACATAGTGTATTTTTTGTTGTTGTAACTTTCGCATACCCAACAAGGGCAAAACAATTTTCGGAAAACTTGTTTCGTGCGTCTTTTTGTGGTTGTTGTTGTTTTTCTTTTAAATATTTATAAATAAAACAGCCTAAGCTGTATCTACAAAGCTAATATATGGACTAAAGCTTTATTTTAAGCCGTTGGGTTTTGGAAAATGCAACCCACATAGTGGGGAAAATAATGGAAAACTGTTGCATACAAATTATTTTTGTTTTTCATTCGATCGATGTGAAAAAGTCAACCCACTGGGTGGAAAAATTGGTGGTAAAGGTTGCACCGTCGTCCATTTTTAAGCAAAGCTCTACATGTTATTAATTTTTTATTTTTTTGGAAAATCCGCCTTCAAAAGAACATTTAGCCCATTGGGTCAAAAATTGGTGGTCAAGATTACGTGGGCCGAAACTTATCTTTGCTCCGATCAACTTAAGACTAATTTCCAAAGCTCTAAATAACAACTTATTAAATATGTGTTACTTAGCGATTTTGGGAAATGCGCTCCCAAAACCGAAAAAATAGGTTGAAAACTGTTTTATGAAATTCAACTTTTGCCCTCAAACTCATTTTCGTTCTTCAAAATAGTTTTCTAAGAGAAAACTCAACGAAAATGCAATCCTATTTCAGAAAATCCACCGTTCGAGGTGGAAAATTTGTGGTCAACTTAATATGAGGCATTTTTTTCCGTTTCTGACTGGCTTCAAACTCATTTTCAAAGATCTGTGGGAAATTCCAATACAGGCTTGTTTTACCTTTTTGCATTAAATAGTTGTAGGAGTTTGACTGCGAATGTCTTCGGGATGAGAGCGCGATATTGAAGCATATATTAAGCATATATATAGTGCAGTTCTCTCTAGTAGATGACAGGACAGCCGCTCCAGTCCTGGGCCGCCTTGGCCTCCCAATACGTATTCTTGAAGACGTGCACAAGGTCCTCGCTATCCTGCGCCTTCTTTCGCTCGAACCACATGGGTTCATACGCTGGATAGGGTCTTCCTTCGGCTGCCGCCAGTTCGGCCTCTGCTTCAAGCGCTCGTCGCCTCGTTCGCTGCTTCTCCTCAAGGCGTAGCTTCTCCACATTGCTCTCGTCCCAGGCGCCCTCCTCCATCAGTCGTTGATCGGGACGCAGACGCGAATCAGTGGGCGCCACGCCCTCCTCCGGCTCGTTCAGCTGACAGGCAAGTGTGGTGAAGTTGTAAAACTTATCTGCATTCGGCGGTCCTGGTCGACGCTTCCATGCGATCCTGGAGTCGCCAGTCGTGAAGGTCTCTCCGTCCGCTGAGCCACCCAGCACGGGCGCTATCTCGATCTTGTCATCCCAGGTGCCACGCACAACCCACTTCGCCTCATTATTGCGATTGTAGATGAATCCCTTAACACTGCGCTGAGCCTTGCGGCTGAAGTAAGAGTAAGGCGTGTATTTTAGGGTGCACTTGTTGCCATTGCTGCCAATTATTTCGGTCTCTCCTTCGAGATCTACACACAGTTTGCCAACAATTATGTTGTTCACTGTAGTCGTCACTTTGCGCCACGAATAGCGATTTCCACTCTTGGTAAATAAAACGTAGGCACCACCAACTGGATTAACCTGATCAAAAGCAAAGCTAGCTGAATAATGTTCGTCAATCAAGAAATTAATATATCTACCTGCAAGGACTTGCCACGAAATTTGCTCGTCATGGAGAACTCTTGCCAGGTGATCCATTCCTTGCTTTCGCAATGCAGTGCAGAGACGGGTGGATGATGCGACACCTGCTCGGCCAGACAGCGCCACCCGAGATCATCGGTGCGATCGCACTCATAGGTCTCTCCCAGGAGTGGGTTAAATGGTTTATTAATCCGACTTGCTGCCGTTGCATAGGCTGAGACTGTGAAAGCAGCTAAGTGAGCTAGCTGCTCGCACTCATCCGTGCAGGCGGCTGCAGTGTCCAGTATTTCGGAGTACTCATAATCCTCGACCAGCCGCTGCAGCATGGAGATAGGCTCGTTAAAGTTAACTGGCATGGGTATCTTGGACAGATCCTTGCCAATGCAGTTCTTCATCAGTGACCACAGATTGATCGGATAATTGGGCTTATCTGGGACACGTGAGCGTCGAGATCTGTGAGTGGATTCATTGCCAGCAGCTGTTGGCACAGCCTTGACACTTTTTGTTTTTCGCATCTTCTGCGATAAGCTCAATTTGTTGAAACTTATCTCGATGGGAGAGTTCGATTCCAGACGCTGCCTAGCACCGTCAGACATGTTTCAATTCCTTTGCAAACTTGCGGATACAATTAAAACGGAGACTCCTTTGACAGCCATTGAGGGGACATTTGGGTCCTTTTTAAAAGTTGGCCAGGAAGTTTCAAGATTGTGCATTATATCGAAGACGTTGAGAAAAGGATGCACTACTGGTTTGCCTCTTTTTGGATCCAAGTCTTATGAGGGAGTTTTGCTGCCCTGCAAAAGACACAGGAAATTTTCAACACCAATGCACAATTTTCAATAGTCTGCAAGTATGTATAATGATTTTTTTTTTTGTTATTACTGCTCAATGTTGCTTGCTGTTCGAAATCGTCTATCGTTTTTATGTAACGGTCCTGCGCAATGTTTATGCCTCATTGACGTCCAGTGGTTCATGAACGAACTAAAGTAGTTATACATTGTGCAGGGTTGTTATTGCCGTTAAACATTAGGTTTGCTTTTGTGACGTCAGTCTGGAACATAACATTGAACTTTATATGGGCAAAATGCGAGTCGGATTACCAGTTAGCAACTAGATTAGCAATCAGCAATTAACTCTGCTTCTTCGATTTTTTTTACCTATATGGCAATGATTTATTACTTAAGGCGTTAGCTTTACATCTAATTCTTTGAAATCTAGCTTCCAATATTCCTGATTAGTTTATATTTAAAATAATATTTTTTAATTCCGTTACGATTTCAATTTGCATAAAAAAGCATAAAAAGGCATTGCAAATTAAATGATTCCAGTGCAATTGGTAACCACACAATTTTGTTGCTTTATTTAAAATAATACTTTAATAATAAATTGCATAAATTTATAACATTTAACATATTCTCGTTGCGTTGCATAGATTCTTATTTCTTTTTGTTTTGTTTTGTTTTAATATATACACAAAAAAGGAAAACTCGTTTTGTGTGTCTTCTTCTTGTTTCGTTTGTTTAGAGTGAAAACTTGGATCGCTTCTCACTTGCACATGTCAACATATTTTTATAGATTAGATAGATGTGTGTATTAATATATATCCGTGTATATATATATGTATGCATTGTGTTGCTGGATGGTAAGGTCTATGTGCCATAACTATTTGATAAAAGCAAAGATTAAATTAACAACCGAAAGAAAAATAAAAATCATTTGTTAATCAAACTTCAGATTGAACTCGCCATAAAAAACATTTTCAGCTCTAACATTTGCAGCTAAGTTACAGTATTTAGTTCTGTATATACCTATATATATATATATATATATATATATAAAGATATATAGATATATATACGCATTAAGTAGTTGAAGAATGCTATTAGGTCGATTAGTTCATAGTTCAGTTAGAGTTATATTTATGCTTGACTTCGGGGGTGAGAGTGGGATTTCGAGGCATGTTGCATATTGAAATCGTTTATCGTTTATCGTTATCATATAGTGCATAGATCTCTCTCTCTCTCTCTTTCTTTCTATCTATCTCTAGTAGATGACAGGACAGCCGCTCCAGTCCTGTGCCGTCTTGGCCTCCCAATACGTATTCTTGAAGACGTGCACAAAGTCCTCGCTATCCTGCTCCTTCTTTCGCTCGAACCACATGGGTTCATATGCTGGATAGGGTCTTCCTGCGGCAGCCGCCTGTTCGGCCTCTGCATCCTTCGCTCTTCGCTTCGTTCGCTGCTTCTCTTCGAGGCGCAGCTTCTCCACATTGCTCTCGTCCCAGGCGCCCTCCTCCATCAGTCGCTGATCGGGTCGCAGACGCGAATCAGTGGGCGCCACGCCCTCCTCCGGCTCGTTCAGCTGACAGGCAAGTGTGGTGAAGTTATAAAACTTATCTGCATCCGGCGGAACCGGTCGACGTTTCCATGCGATACGAAATTCGCCAGTTGTGTACGTTGGTCCATCAGCCGTGTGACCGGAGCGCATCACGGGCGCTATCTCGATTTTATCGTCCCAGGTGCCACGCACCACCCATTTGGCCTCGCCGTCGCGATTGTAGACGACGCCCTTCACACTCCTCTGCACCTCGCGACTGAAGTAAGAGTAGGGTATATAGTTCAAGATGCACTTGTTACCATTCGCCGTATTGCTGCCCACAATCTCCGTTTGTCCATGTTGATCCACCCAGAGCTTGCCCACAATTATGTTGTTCACTGTGGTTGTCACCTTGCGCCACGAATAGCGATGTCCAGTCTTGGGAAACAAAACGTAGGCGCCGCCAAGCGGATTAACCTATTTAAAGCGAACGAAAATCAGTTGACTAATTTGTGTGCATTGGGTAAGATCTGTAGTTGGTCGCCAGAATCAACTGTAAATCTTCTCTTACATTATTCTGGATAAGAATGTCGAAGTTTGATAGAATAATTGGATTATTTTCAGATTGGAGCCAAGCTTCGATCCAAAATAGAACTTCATATTAAGTGGAAAACCATATTCACGAATCGAACCAAAGATTGAGATGGGGAGCTATAAGCCATTAACAGACTTTATTCCATTTCTGTATGTTTGTCGACTCATTTGGCAATATTTTAGTATTTTAATATTAATTAAAATATTGTTTTCACTAATCATTGATTTTAATAAGAGACTTTTGTTTTAACAAATCTATGATTTTTGGCGCTCAACTCTAGGCGTAGATGGGGAATGCTTACCTGCAAGTATTTGCCACGGAACTTGCTTGTCATGGAGAACTCCTGCCAGCACAGCCACTCTTTGCCTTCACAGTGCAGTGCCGCAACGGGCGGATGATGGGAGACTTGCTCGGCGAGGCAACGCCAGCCGAGGTCATCTGTGCGATCACACTCGAAGGTCTCGCCCAGCAAGGGATTAAATGGTTTGCCAGTGCGATTCGATGTCGTCGCATACGCGGAAACCGTAAAGGCAGCCAGATAGGCCAACTGCTCGCACTCATCGTTGCACGAGGCAGCAATGTCCAGTATGTCGGCATACTCATAATCCTCGACGAGACGTTGGAGCATGGAGAGCGGCTCGTTAAAGTTGACGGGCATGGGTATTTTGGACAGATCCTTACCAATGCAGTTCTTCATGATGGACCACAGGCTAAGCGGATGATTAGGCTTATCTGGGACACGGGTGCGACGAGTCCTCACTTGATTACCGACCGGCAGACTGTGCTTGCTGCTCCTAACGCTGCTCTTGGCGCTGTTTCGACCGCTGCTTTTGGCGCTTTTCTGGGCGGCGTTCATGGCGCTGCTGTCGCTGGACAGATCTGCGTACTCTGAAGTCGAGGCACGATCCACAACGTCTTTGTATTTGTCTTTTGGTTTGTCGTCATCATCATCCTCACCGGAGACGACACGCTGCTCGCTTACGAAGCACACTTGTTGCACCGTTTTTATGGTTCGCTTTTGCTCATCGCTTTCGGAGGAGCTGCCCACGTGATCCTCGGAGCTGCTGCGACGTTTGTTTAGCTTCAAGATAAATGTGCCATCCGTGGGTGATTCACCGGCTCGGCCCGTATAGCCGAATTCCTCGGCATCAAAGAATTCCGTCTCATCATCCGAGGTTAAATTCGTGCCTGGTGGAACGGAATTAATGGACATGGCTGTGCCCGGAGTTGGCTTATTGCGACGCACCATTACCGCAGCCTGTTCCATTTGGGATTGCTGTTTGGCCATCTGTTCGATGATCTCCTCGAGCCGTTGGCGCTGCTCGCGTTCGTGATGCAACATCTTGGACCACTTGTGCCCTTGTGATTCCGCAGAGCGCAGATAATCATTGCCCGCATTGATCATGGCGTTCGAGGTGATTCGAAAGAGCGTCGCACGCTCATTTACAATCTTTGTGCGACTGGCGAGCGGCTCCTCCTCATTGGACTCCAGATCGTTTAGAGCACGCTGCAGTGCAGCGCCGTGTTTGGTGATTAAATCATAGCAGGTGCGCATATTCTCCAGTCGCTCGGTCAAATCCCGCACCACCGTACTGATCTCCTGACTGGGCACCACCTGCGCCGTCTCCTCCGCCTCCTCCTCCTCGCTCTCGATCGCTCGAATCGCCCGCACTTTGGCCAGCTCCAGCGCTGTGACCCACGACTGGCGTTCCACCTCATTGGAGGCTTTGATGTGAAACGTCTGGGTGCCTCCATTCGAGATGACAAAGGTGCACGAGTCCACCGTGTGAATGAGTGCCCCATGCAACGATATTGTGCCCCTGCACGTGTGATTTATTTCCGTCTGATTGCGATAGTAGCTGAGCACTCCCTTGGACAGGACAAACCAGCGACGCTGATAGCCCTTGATGTAGTTCGTCCACTTCAGTAGCCAGCCCTTCATCTCGGGATCGCCACCACCACCGCCACCTCCTCCGCCGCCGCCCTTCTCCGCTTCCGACATGCTAGCAATTGAGTGGAGCCGTTTTTGTGCCCAACTTGTGTAATTGATGTATGATAGAAATTTATTAGCACTCGCCTGTCTACGACGACGACCTCGATGAAGATTCGGCTGTTGCTGCTGCTGATTCAGATTCAGACTCAGATTCGGAATTGGTTTCGCAAACGCCACGTAGGAGCGCAGGGGGGGGCAGGGGTATGACAACAACTCCAATTGCAAATCAATGTTTAATTAGTTGCTGGCAGCTGCTGTTCGCATCGCACCTGATTGGACAGCCGTTTGCACTTTCCCCGAGTTCACAATCAATTTCCGTTTGCTGGGCTCTAGCGGCAATTGAAATAGTTCTTTTTTTTTTTCTTTGCACAAAATAAAGAAACTGTGCCAGTCAAGTGCGCATTGGTGTGCGTGTGCGTGTGAACAAGGCTGCGGTGTGACCAACTTTGACAAACACATAAATGTCACACGATATTTACTGAGTGCTGCATATATTAAATATATACGTACTGCAACTATTACTGGCGCTGCCAACTTTATTTACGAAAATATCAAACAGCCTAAGGCAAGGTAGGCGCGCAAATTTGAATCTGTTTTTGAACATGACAATATTTAGTGTTTCTTTGTTTTGTGATAATTGGGTTTTGATAGAACAATGTTAAATTTCGACTTAAGTTAACTTTTCAGTTATTTTTAGCTGTTTTTTTTAATACTTATCAACTTTGCTTAAAAATGCCAATTATGTACATAATTTCCCCACAACTGTGCACTAAAAAATTAAAAGTAATTTTGTTTTGTGGTAATTAAAAATGTGCTGCCATCTGTGCTTGCCCTGATACAACTTATGGAAATCTCATTTCCATCGAGGGGCCTGTTGATTGAATTCAAAGTTGGCTTTTTATGGCTGCCTCACCTACACAGCTGTGTTTAGCTTACACATTGCCACACACGCACACACATACAGTGACTCATCTTGGGCAATAAAAACCACAAAGAACAGCTGTCTCGGACACGCCGTCTATTGGATACACTATTCGATATTTATTTAAAGAGCCAAGCTCTTGCGTTCGGGCAGATATGTGTATGTGTGTATTATAACTGGCGAAATTGGCTAAGAAAGAACTTGCCTTCCGTCCGATAGTGCTAATAACACCTATATAAATGATATAATGTTCTGATTCGAATCCAACATATATACTGCTTGTAGATAGCCCAAATACTGAAAGAAATCATACAGCTGGGTAAATAGTGACTATATTGATTTGGCAATAGAATCAAGGATTTATATATTTATAAATGTCCTCCTCAATGCGTGTCACACTCGACAGTAAAATTATGTTACCTTTGGCAAAGCCATCAAAATATAAATATTGGTATCTCGCATTTTTACTGTCAATAACATTTGATATAAATTAGTTAATTAAATATGTTGCGTGATTAGTAAATTATAAAAATACATGACATATATATATATATATAAAATATATATGTATAAAAGGTGGGTTGTGGCGTCAAATTGGGGTTTTCGGTTGATTGGTTGGTTGACTCACTTCTTGCAATCGGCCCAGGAGTAGCGAAATGTGGCTATCATGCGGTAAAGGCTGCAAAATACAAACTTGGTCGTAAAAAATAGCTGCGATGGCAAAGTTCATTGGACGACAAACTCACACTCACACACACACACACCCAGGCAGACAGACGAAACGAATAAACCAGCGAACGGGTGGGTAGGCGACAGGTGGAAAACACAATCACAATAACAGCACATAAAATCAGAGAGACACACACACACACACACAAATGCATGAGCACACACATACATATATGAATGGATATATATGTATATGTATATATATATATTTATATATATATATATCTATATATGTATGTACAATAAATCATTTATTCGTAGGCAGTTCTTGCATAATATAAAATAAATATATGTATATAGTTTACAAGTAATTTAAAAATACAAAATACAGTTTCATTTTCATAGTACTTTTTTTTGTTTTTGTTTTCATTTCTCTTTTTAGTCCCTGACGGCACTTTTTACAAAACATTAAGAGATTGGTTGCCTTAATGAGGGGAAGGGTTTGGGTTCATAATAATTGTGGATAAGATCGCTGAAATTAACGCTTCACAGACGAAAAATAAGGAAGAAAAACAACAACAACAAAACAAACAATTAATGAGAGCTTGTACAAAACTTTATAGTTGCAGTGAGCATGGTTGGAAGAGTGGGAGGGGAGGTGGAGTAGGAGAGGGACAGAGGTAGACAGAGACATAAACAATGAAGAATAAAAGCATGAAAAAAAATTACATAAAAATATAATAAATACAGAATAATAGGCAAGTGGCGAGCTGAAAAGCAAAATAATATTGTTTTCCCTTGTAGGATTGCTTAAGTTACTACAGTCAAACCTCTCTAACACGAACAACCATACAAAATTCGATTTATAATACACCATTAGGTGTAGATGTAATAAAATCGGGCAAAAGGGGAAGACTATTATTTTGTTTGAACAATCTTTTGGTTTTCAGAAATCTCCTATTCGAAAAACATTTTGTGAAAACACAATTAAAATTTTCATTAAAAATTTGAATTTTAAACTATTGCTGACATTTGGTATTATCGATATCTATATATATATATGTATATATATACATAGTATTTAATATATAGAGACAAACTTGTGATCGAAAGTTTGATTGAGTTATTGAGTTCACAATATGAAAACAAAATTCATTCTAATTTTGTCTCTAAACATTATTGCAATCAAATTTTGTACATGTTACAACAAATTTTACTTATAGAACACCATAAATTATACATATTATCAGTCGAAAAATTAGATTGTTTTTGGTATTCGGAAGTAATAATAAAAATCAAATTCTCCAAAATGTTGATAAAATTCAATATTCATTTAAAAATTAGACCTATAAATTAAACGTAACCAATTTGAGTTGGAGTTATGGAGAAATTGGTTTTTATAGAGATTTCGAGTTCGTATTATCGAGAAAAAAAATTGTACAAAATTTGGTTTGGAGTTACAGGAAAAATTCGAGTTACGAGAAGTTCGACTGTATTATGAGCGTGTGTGTGAGTGTGAGTGTGTGTGTTGTATGTGTGTTGGTGTAGTAAGTAAAGATAGAAAGAGCATTTCCTTTACATGGTATTGTATGCAGCGGTGTTGAAGCTTTGCTTTGGTAAACTTAGCCTAGTGAGTGGATGAGTTTTGCCATGCTGCGCCAATCGACGATGCTGCACTTGCTCCGTTTGTTGTTGTTGTTGCTGCTGCTGATGCTGGAGCTGGAGCTGGTTAAGATTGGTGTGACGGGCGGGTGCGGGCGGCGGACGATTCTCGCTATAATCGTGTGCTCTGTTTGACAGCGAACGATCATAATAGGAATGAGGTCGCTGACGGAAGCTAGTGACACTGATTGTTGTTGTGTTGTTGCTGTTATTGATATTGGTGGTTGTTGCTGTTGTTGTTGTTGTGTTCTTGGTGGGTGGTGTCGATGACGACGACGGCGGCGGCGGCAGTGTTGCTGCTGTTGTTGTCGTTATTGTTGCGGGATTGTTACTACAGGAAGTGGTTTGATATTTATGCACTAGACCTTTTACATTACGATCACAAGAGGTTTCGCTTACGCTCGAGTCGGATGCGGATGAGTTGCTGGATGATGATTTTGTCGTCGTCGTCATCAACGGTGCAGCATTGATGCTGCTGTTGTCCACCAACACATGATCCGCATGCTGTGCAACGGGTGATGAGGGCAGCGATTGATGTGTCGCCTTCTTCTGCACTGGCGCTGCTGCTGTTGCAACAGTTGCAGTTCCAGTTCCAGTTGTAGTTGTTGTTGCTCCTTGTCCTGCTCCAACACCTGTGCCTGTGCCCGCTCCTCCCATGCCCGACAACACGCCGCCAACCACCACACCAGCTTTGGCTTCAAAGTTTTGCTTGAGTATTTGCACATGCCCCGATATGCGTTGATCCTCGGCGACAGCCTGACTCTGTGTGCGCAACACCAACATCAAATCCGTCGCGGTGTTCTTGTTCTCAATGTCGCTGGTGTGCATCAGTTCCTCGCTGTTGCAGCGCAACGGTTGACGTTGGCGCGCCGCATTGCCAGCGGACGACGCGCTCCGATATAGATTGGCACACTTTTTCTCAATTGTCGCTACCGCCGTCGTCGCATCCAGATTATCAGCATCCACACTTGCATCATTGACGTTTAGTTCGTCGTTCGCCTCCTGGCAGCGTTTTTTGAGCGTTGTATTCTCCTCGAGCTTTTGTTTGGTGCGCTTCACGGTGCCCAACTGGGATTCGGTTGGATTGCAATTGCTAGCCATTGTTGTGGATGTGATGCCGCTGCTGCTCCGCTTCAGATCCTGGATTTCACCCTCGAAAATGGCTGTTGTATTGCGATTGCTGTCGTAGTAGTTGCAGGAACTGGTGCGCATTGGCAGGCTGCTCCGATTATCGCCCGATCCCCAGCTCGCGTGACGTGACGGCAACTCCCGCTGTTGTCCAGGAACTCGCGTTCGCAGAACAGCACTCGGCGCTAGGTGCGCGTGTTGCTGAGGCAGTGCGTCGAGTATGATGCCACCGCTTGGACCAAACGATTCCGTCCACGATTGCGTTTTGCGACGCTGTCGCTTCTCTCGCTCCTCCACCTTTGCTGTTGTCGTCGTCGCCGTCGTCGTTGGGTTTGTGGCAAACACTTCCGATGAACTGGAATCCCGTCGCGTCGTCGTCGGCGTAAAGGCTGTTTGGGTTATCAACTTGGACTGCGATGTCCACACGGTGCCTTGTGCCGGCGCCTGCACTAAGTGCAGACTGCGCCGCGGCGGCTCCTGATGCGCCTCGAGATCATGGACACGCGTCCGCACCGAGAGCGGCGTGTGCTTCTGTATGTGCAGCACCTGATTCTGGGTGACGCTATAGTTCTCGCCATTGCTGCCCGGAAAGCGCATATTCTTTGGCTCCTCGGCCACACTGCGTTCCGGTGTCAGGTTCTCCATGGATTGGCTTTGCTGTTTCGTTACCTCTACGGCACTTTGGGTCTTCGGTGAGGTGCTACTTGAGCGTCGCATCAATCGGCGTTGCTTTTGTGCGCTGCTCCGTCGATACTGGCCACGATTACTGCCACTCTCCTGTTGCTCCGCACCACTTTTCCCACTACTACTCAGTTTGGACTTGTTGTGATTGAGCGCCTGGATTAGTGGCGTTGGTTCGCTCCCGGGGAGCAGACGTGCATCCTTTGTGCTCTTCAAATTTGTCTCACTCTTGCTGCGCTGCAGTTTCTCCTTGTTCTTCATCGCATCCAGCATACCGCTATACGTTTCCAACTGATTAAGAAAGTTCTTGTTGGGCTTAATGCAACTCCGGCGCTCCTTGACATGCTGCAGCGCACGCTGGAACTCCCATTTGTATGCCTTCATCGCATACGCAATGACAACAGAAGCGGATCGACTTACACCCATCTTGCAGTGCACCAGCACCTTGGAACCCTCGGCCTTGGCCCGCGATATATACCGAAATGTGTCGTCCCAATACTTGAGCAGATTGGTCTTCTCATCATCGTAGACGCGCACATTAAAGTACTCAAAGGTGCCCGGAAAAAAGTTGTCAATCTCGCGAGTCACATTCAGAATGTGTCGAACACTACAAGGGATCAATAAACACATAAATAATACATATTAGTTAGGCGTCATCTTTCCTCCTTAAATCTCCACACACATACCCATTCTTTTGTAACTCCTCCAGATTGCTCGCATTCCATTCCGAGCCCAAGTAGACGTGCTCAAAGATTTTGGTCGGCGCATCCATTTGACCTAGAATCAGCAACATTTCGGCATCAATAAACGATTTGTATTCGCCTAAATCCATATCTAAGAGATCTTCCAGACGACCACGTATATACTTGGAGGTCACTTCATCCAAATCCACCGACATCATGATCGCTTTGAGCTTCATTTTAATGACACTTTCAGTTTCCTCCTTAGCGGTTGGCCTGCAAATAAAAAATAAAACATAATTCATGACTATGTTCTACATATATTTAAAAGAACATATAATTAATTTATTAACTTTACAATCAGAAATTATATCAAATTGAAGCGTTTTCAAATCACATTTGTTGAAGTCATAAAATGGATTTTGATTAAGTGAACGAAGTACGAAGCTTAGTATTTTATATAATATCTTTTCCTTTTCTTGATATCTTTAAGAATGCATCTACGCACTAAGTTCTCTCTCTTTAGTTATACAAAATTCGTTCTACCTTGTTTGCTTACAAAAATAGAAGGGGATTATATTTGCCACCGACAAATTAAATAACTAACTAAGCTAGCAAGCACTAATATTAAACGAAATCTGTCACACGAGTTATGGTTATTCTACTTGTTTCTTATGGCATCTGGTGAGGGCGGGCGACGACTCTCGAGTGCATCCATGGCATTCCATTCGTTTAGACACGACTGATCTGACTCAATGCGACTTTCGTAGCTGGTTAACCAATCATGCGATGGGCCGCTGGGATAGAAATTATTTTCACGAGCCTTTCGAGACACTTTGTGCAGCGTTTGCAGCGCCGACCTAAAAAAAAACAACAAGAAAAACGATACACATTAATTAAAGAAGTAGAAGACTTTATATAGAGAGTCAATCTTACCACATCGCTTGCACCGATACGGGCTTAAATATGTGGGTCTTTTCGTAGACAGCGACACTGAAGCCGCTGAAAAAAGGGAGAATACAATGATTAGATTTCAGATTACGGATTCGAGATTGATTGATTTGAGGGACTCACCCGTCACCATCCAAGTGAATTGTGGTGTCTGCGAGTATGGGCACAACAAGACCAAGGGTCGTTCGCTCGTTGCAATCGATGCCCAGCAGGCAGGATTCCTCCATGCCCGAGGTATTCTTGTTGTTGTCACCGGCTCCACCTGTGCCTCCTCCTACTCCTCCACTTACATCCCCCTCTCTTCGTCCACTACCATCCACATCACATTTTAGGCTTTGACGATTCGCATTGAGCGACGACAGACGCTTTGCCGTTTCCTCTTGAGCCGCCTGCTGCGTCCGATGGCTATCCACGGATAGCTGCCGTTGCGCAACAGGTGTACCACCAGCCAACTGCTGAGCGTGTGTGGCGCTTGACGCCGCCGCCGTTGTCGCCGTCGACTTAACCGAATTGTGACGTATGATTTTAGTGCGTCGCTCGTTGCTGCTGGCCGCCGTCCGGCAACAACTACGGGACACAATCACAAGGTAGCGCGTACGATTCGAACGCTGCGACTCCAGTTTGACAGCCTGAAATCAAAATTCGAAATGTAATAAACACAGTACAGGTATAGATTACCAATCTTACCATTTTCAGGGTGTCTTCGCGATGCAGCAAATAGAACATTGATTGCAAATGCAGTTGAATGTCGGAGTTGTTGCTCTGCGTGCTGTTTGTGGAGCGTGTGGAGTCTGTGCTAAGGCGTCGCTCCGCATGCAACGGTTTGTCTTCCAGGGCTAACACCAACGCAGTGCCCTTGCCAGCAAAATAACATTCGCTCCGTTCGCCTTTATGATTGCTATTACCCTCGTCGTCGTCGGCCTCGCCATCCTGTAAAGCAGAGCATAATATACATTAATTTGGGTTATTTCCCTGTTTAATTAACTCTCATTCCATTTGCTTTGCATTTCTTTCTTTCTTCTTATGGGCTGGGAGCGCTTTAAAGGTGACTCACGACTCACCCGTCGCTGTACACAAAATATAATATCAGATTGTGACATTTTGGGAGTTAAGTGAAATTCGTAACCAAACAAACTTGATGATGAATTGCTTTGCAACTATATAAAAAAAAAAAGAGAGCGAACCAGCGAAGGAGAAAGAGAGAGAGAGAGAGACAGTGGGCGATAGAGTCGCCGCCTCCTACCATAGTTGATTCGAAATGTTTACAATAACAAGAAAGTTGAGCTATCTGCGATAAGACGAAGTTTACGTTCCCTCTAAAAACAATAAATCGACTTGCTCAAATCATAATATTATTGTTTGCTTAATGCAGTAGTCGAAAGTTGATAATTGCCATTGTTATTATTAAAATAGCATTCGTAACTAAAGAGTGAGGAGCATGTATGGTTCAAATTGGATTCTTGGAAAAAACCTAAACGATATTATGTCAAGCAGTAATCTTTTTACTGATAGTTTCTGTGACAGCTATTCGATATGGCAATATCTGATTAATGCACATAAATACGCTTACAACAAGTCTCAACAATATCTGTTAAAAACGAACTCAGTTCACATAATTGCGTAAATAGATCTGTAGTTGATCTACTCAACTGTTGATGCTGATAATATATCATATATATATATATAGAGTCAGATAGAGTATATATATATATATATATATAACATAAGGAGGTTGAAGGTGTCTCCTTCAATTTACAACAAAATTTTAATATCAGCTGTAAGTGTATATCAAATAATTGCGCCTCGAAACGATTATTGTATGATGAGTAAAAATTACAAGGACAGTGCCCCGAGCTCCCCAAGGTCTTGAGAACTATTTTTGGGGGAGGGAAGAGAATGACGATGATGATAATGATGATGATGATGATGATGATGATCACGACGACGTCGAAGACGGCGCCGCGTAACGGAACCAGCAAGAAAAATCGCAGAGCGTCGTCTTCGTCGTTGACAAAACTACAAATAAGGCAATGCAAAAATATTTCAATTTATTGAAAATGGGAGAGCAGCGAGGTGAGCAGAGAGCAGAAGCGTGAAGCAAGAAGAGTATAGACGGGGAGAGGAGTGGAGGGGCGATATGGCGAGCCGACGTCTGCTCGGATTTGCTTGAATTACAACAATAAATAACAAGAAAAACAACAAACAGCAAACAGAGAAAAACCAGAGTGCTCTAATCGAATCTGCTCGAATTGTGAATACCCTTTTGTCAGATAGAGTTATCTTTTAACTATTTGCTACACACTTCAGGCTACTACTGTGGTGCTTCTTCTTCTTTCCTTTCCGCTTCGCGTTTTTATTGTTCGATCGTTATGAAATTAACAATCAATTATGTGAAAATATTAATAGTAAAATTTTGGTCAAACCGGAGGTAATCATAACCGGAAATCTGTATCGGATCTGATAACGATAATTCTGCTTTATTATTGTTTTCAAATGCTGGCAACACTGATTAAAAAGAGTTGCATATCGATACACATTTATGGTATGCATGGGAAAGGGGAGGTGGGTTGACGACAATCGGAAATTCGATCAGAGATTTCTTCTGCTGTTTTATATAATTGAATACAACTTTATTACTATGAATATTTACAGGGTATATAAACAAGACCAATGTGAACAATATAAACAGATGTGCGAATCGTGGCGCGACTGATGATGATGATGACGCTGACAAAACGCCCACAACAAACACTAACAGACGAACACGAGAGAGCGGGTCGAAGGCGGAAGGGAGGGGAGAGGGGGGACTGGAACGCTGTTTTTGTTGCATGATATTCGTAATTTAACTAAAATTGGGCATATGCCTGTGTATAGAAAAACAAAAGGATCACTGGCCAAAAGAGGAACACGCACAGGAAGCGTTCATAGGCGGTGGCCAAACACCACCCACTTAATACTCCCGTCCCCTCCACCCGCTACTATCAGAAATCAGCTCCATTAACAACGCGTAACCAAAACAAAGCAAAACTCATAGAGCGATGTGCGAGCGAGCGAGAGAGGGAGTGAGGAAGAGAACTTGACTACCGCAAACACTACACACACATGTATACACATGCACATATATACACACGCATGCATGCATGCAAACAGATGCGTAGCTGGCTGCAGCTGTAAAATTGCACCTTACGCGATAGAAATGGGGCAAACTCACCTCCCACTTCCTGCACGCTCGCACACATACACAAATGCATTTAGGTATGTATGTATGTGTGAAAGAGAGGAGTAGAAACTCACCGAATTCGAGCAAGAGCCCGTTACACTGGGCGACCGTTGCACTGTCACAAGCGCCATTGTTGGTTGTTTGTTGCTTCTTTTTGTTCGCCTGCCTTCAACTGCTGACTGTTGGCTGCTGCCTGCTCTTCGTATCCAAGGCCTTCTGTCCGCGTGTTTTCCTCTTCTATCCTTCGTTGGGCTGAGTTGTGCGTGCGTGTGTCTGTCTGTGTGTGTGTGTGTGTCTGTGAGTGTGTGTTTGTATGTTGAGTCAAGTGTGTTGGGGCGAAAAAAAATTCACAAATGCATTTTCATTTTTGTCGACGTCTCGTTTCCTCTCTCTCTCTCTCGCTCTCCGTAGTTTTTGCACTCGGCACTTGCGTCTTCGATTAACTTAAAATGCTATATGATTATGGCGGCGCGTTGGTTCGTATAGCAATAAGAGCACGCGCCCGTTCAAACGATTGTCAGCCCACAACGTATACGAATAAATATGATAAATGTTATTACAAAAAAAATTTTCGTCAAAGAGCCCAGAGCCAGAGGCAGTTCAGCACGACGACGCCATATTTAATTTTTGTAGTCGATTGCAGGCATGCACGATTAGTTCTGAAACATATCGAATATACGCATACAATTTGGCTGCGGTTGGCAGCACCCTCAAATCGAATATCGTTATCGCTTTTGATGGCGAAATCGTGCGATTGTCGTGCGGCACAAAACAGATGGCAGCAAAGTCAAAGTTATTTCATTATTAAGCGAAAATTACGCTGGCTGTTGCCAATTTAATTGTAGTTGACAAATGTCCGGGATAATTGAAGAAAAAACCGGCATGTTGCCACGCATAGCATTGATAGCATGCGGCAGCTTCAGTCCACCAACGCCTATGCATATGCGTTTGTTCGGTGAGTTTGTTTTGTTTTGTTTATTTTCATTTTTTGTGCTGCGCTGATTAAATTAATCGATAAATGACATTGACATTGAATTTTCTCGCCTTGCTCGTCTGTGTTAAACAGAGATAGCGCGAGATTACTTTGAGATTCGTGGCAGCCACAAGGTAGTGGGCGGCATAATCTCACCCACACACGACTCCTATGGCAAGAAGGGGTTGGCACCCTCCCTGGATCGCTGTGCCATGATCAAGCTGGCCGTGCAGAGTTCCAATTGGATTCGGCTGTCCGACTGGGAGGTTCACCAGTCGCAATGGATGCGCACGCAATCCGTGCTGCAGCATCATCAGAACTATCTCAATAACTTCATCAACTCACCGGGCGATGGGGAGCAGCATGGCGTGCTGCCAGGTTGGCTCCCAAAAAATCTCACGGAACGTCGAGATCCCATCAAACTTAAGTTGCTCTGCGGTGCGGATTTATTGGAGTCCTTTGCAGTACCCGGATTGTGGTCAAATGATGATGTAACTTTTGGTTTACATATCCTCCTGATAAATACGTACTAATTGTGGTTTCTCGTTTAGATTGAGAATATTGTGGCTAATTATGGACTGGTTGTCATATCGCGCTGTGGATCTAATCCCGAGAAATTCATATTCGAATCGGATATTTTAACTAAACATCAGGTGAGTGGGCAAACCCATTGACATACTCTGTAACTTGCCCAAGTGTAGTTTTCTGTACTTCAACCCTAATCATAATGAGTACCTTTATTATCAACAATCTTCATTTTTTAGTACAACATTACGCTCATCACGAACTGGGTGCCCAATGAAGTGAGTTCCTCGCTGGTGCGTCGGCTTCTCAATCGGGGGGAATCGGTCAAGTATCTTTTGGATGATTTGGTGCTCAGTTATATAAATCGTCAGGGCCTGTACAATGTGAAATCGTAAGTGGCAATCATTGAATCAGACATTTTACCATTTATCATTGTATGTGAAATCACGCTCGCAATTTGATACGTACACTGATGCTGCAACTGCAACTGCAACTGCATTCAGCCATCTGCATTCAGACATAGCAACACACTCCACACCAGAACACCGCTTGCAACAAACAAAATTTGTATATATCTCTCTTGTTTTGCAATGATCCACACAAATTATTATTGAAGAGACAAAACGGCGTCCGAGGATAACGCTTGACGCTGTCCGCCATGCACTTTGCACCATTTAGACGAAGCACCAACAACCACAACTAGAACCACAACAAAAACGACGCAGGAGCAGCATCACAACCACAATCATAATCAAGATCTTCACTTGCACTGGCGCCTGTTCATGGAGTGTGAGTGTGCAAAAGAACAAAAAACCAACAAAAAAAAGCAGACAAATTCATGTAGAGAAATGTTTTAAGTTTTCAATTGCCAAATCTACTAATCCCGCATTTACATGCACCAGGGACCGCAACGGCTATGGGCTGTATTTTTTATGTTTAATTCATTTTTAACCAATAACTTTTATAGAAGTCTGGAAATTATTAGTACTTTGTAGTACTTTATTTTTTTTAAGCTGTAAATAATGGTTATTTTATTTTTCTAAATTTACTTTGTAAACACATTCACACACATTCAGTCATATATAAGTTAAATTGTTATATATAGCATAATTCATTCATTAGAATCAAAAATAATTGTCTTTTTGAGGAGTCAAATTCAAATTTAGTCCTTCTATCTACCTAAGATTTTTTTTTTTAATTTAAAAAATTTAGGAGTTCCAAAGAGTTGTTAAATGTAAAATAAATAAAAGTCTGACAAATTTTAAGTTTTGACTGGAATTTAAAAAAATCATAACACTCAATAACTGTTCAAGAGGCGGTCCCTGGTATATAGTTATCTACCTTGTTATATATAGTTTTTCCAGTGTACGTATCATCACAAAAGTTCGCACCTAATTTCTCCAAGAAATTATAACTCATTCGAATAATCCAAACAAAATGTTGCTATAATTTGTTGTTGTTGTACTGACATGCCTACATTATTAATGACGGATTGTAGTAAGTATATAACGGATGCAGTGCATCCAAATCATTTGAATTTCAATCACGCCTACATGGACAACAACAAGAATGCCATACAGCAGTCGAATCACCAGGATATGGATGAGTCGGATAGTCCCTTGAGGCAGCAGTCGGCACGCGTCTTTTGTTGCGGCGAGACTCCCCGGGTCGCCACCAAATTGCTCCTAGGCCGCTCCGGACCTGGCCAAGCGATTCAGGTGATAACAGTGCCCGATAAAAACAAGAGCAACAGTGACTCGTTGGAGGTAAAATATACATATTAAAAAGATATAAAATGCAATTAATAATCTTAAAATATTTCCAGCAAACTCAGCCCAAGAAACAGAAGATTGCCCAAGTGCAGCAGATTTAATGAAAAGCTCAAGCGGCACACTTAAAGGTTAACACAGGATTTTTGAAGACAATGGACTAGCTTTATGTTGCTGTAGATATCGAATATATATGCATATTTATATATTTAAATAAATGTTATTAATTAGCTAAATGTCTAGATGGTTTCTGGAATATGTGCGGCATTTGTACTTTTTTAATAACTTAAATTTTCTTGCCAATTGATTTTGGGATAGTATTTTAGTACTATTTGTTAGATCTGATTATATTTATTATTATATCTATTGTATTTCTCTCTCTCTCTCTCTCTCTCTCTGATAAATGAGCTATAACTCTTGGCCAAGATCTATCGTGCAAAAGCCAACTATTACAATATATTGCATCAACAATCAATTTGCTCTCAGAGCTATGAAGATTAAGTTGTAAGCACATCAATAATTTCAGTTTATTCTCAGATTAGCTGGCAACGATTAAAAATCAGATTTTTAATCATTACATATCAATAAATGTAATTAATCACTTGAGCTACAGAGGAAACCGGCTGGGAAGCTAATATAACTGCATTCCTTGGCCACTTTTGGGTCAGTCCAGCAGCTTGAAGGCACTGAACTTGCAACACTGCGTTCTGGCAGCTATTTCAACGTGCATTGACATTGCCACAGAAGGGCTTCCCTTGGTGGTGTTTGTTGTTGCTGCTCCCACTTGGCATATCCGATGACAACAAACTGAGCGACACTCTTTGTTGGTTCTGCTCTTAGGGGCAAAATCAGTTGCAAGTTTTCCATCGTTGCGTTTAGTTCGTGGCATGTTTTTCTTTCGACGCTCGCATGCTAAGCCCGCGCCACGCCCCTCACGTGCCCCATCCTTTGCGTTGCCCAAGCGTCGATCTCCCGTCCGGCTGGCGCCTTCGCACCAGCACGATCAGCTGCCATTTTTGAGGCGATCCCGGTTCAGTGCCCTGCCCCATTTTCGTGCCTACGAGGATGAGCCGGAGAGCCTGTCCCTATTCATTGCCATCCTTTATGTGGTGGATTTGTTTGGTATCTTTCCATTTCTAACGCTGCCTGCCCTACTTATTCGCATGGGTTACTTTGGTGTGCTGCTAGGGTTGTCCATCATCTTTCTGCAGATGTACACCTCCTTTCTGCTCTCACAGTGCTGGACGATGGCTGAGCTTCTGGATCCTTCGATACAGCAGAAGAGAAACTATCCATATGCAGCACTCGCTGATCTCGCTTTCGGTCCCTATGTCAGCTTGTTGGTATCGGTGCTGCTGGACTTGAGCATCTTTGCCATGGCAGTGCCAAGCATTGTCGTAGCTGCCGAGAATCTGGAGGCTGTTGTTCTGCGCATGAGTGCGGGTCATTATAATTTCTCCTATTGCTATTGGGCCATCCTTGTGGGCATAGTCATCTGTCCACTCATGTGGTTGGCCAGTCCGAAGCATATGCGGTAAGCAATATTATTCTCTGCACTCAAACAGAGGATTTGAAGAGTCATCAAAAGTTTGTTTGGACAATCCGATTTCAGTGGCTAGAAGAGCTTGAGTGCATAATATATATATTATAAGCCACAAACATATCAAGTTTAGTTCTTTTTATTTATATTGATACAAAATGATTTCTTTAATGTTTTAAAATACACGAACATAAAGATGTAATTATTACATCACAGACATATTATTGATGAATTGTAAAAGTTTCATTGGACTTAGATTTTGTCAACCAACACTTCCTGTGTATTGCTGGTTGCAGTGTGCTTTCTAGTCGAGCTCTCTCGACTAGATCATTCTGATTTTTTCTTCTTGTGTTTTTCAGCGGATTGGCGATTATTGCTGTTTGTGGTCTGATTATTTTTGTGGGGATACTTTGGTATTGCCTTATAGATGCGCCTGCAATTGGACAGCCCTTTCAAGGAGTTTCAATGGGTGCGTACTCTCTAAGAGCAAATAAATCTCCAATCCAACTAACTCAAATAAATTATTTAGATTTATTTTAAGTGAACAATATATGTGTAATAAATGTAGTATAGTTTTTATTACATTTCATAATGTGATGCAGTGAAGGATTATAGAAGATATTTCTTAATATATATATTCTCAATTAATTCCGTATGGGTATGCTGACATACCCAATCAAACATAATTGATTTGTTCGATTACCTTTCAGTCAATCAATTTGTATGCAAAACTTGTCTCACAGCTTTGTCGCATTGTGGATGGAACTTGATACGGATCATATTGACGAGGGCTCTTTGAGTCATTATTTTAGAGCTATTTCAGCTGTATTTTAAGTATTGAAACTATTCTGTTGATGAATACTGCTCAGCTGCCTGTTATAAATTGCCAACCGAAAATTTAATTTATTTTTGAAAATTTACAAAAAGTGACTTGAGAAACAAGCCATTGTGGGAAAATTTTAAAATATATGGAAAACTGTTAAGTGAAACTATTGAAGCTGATTTTTTAATACGTCAATTTATTTATTGGACACAGATTGTTCGAAAATTCCTTAATAATTATATATTTATTTTAAAACTATTTATATATCTGTATAATTTTATCGTAACAAAACGATCTGGCTTGCTCACCATTTTAAATAGCTATAGTAATTTTATAAAATCAACTCAAGGGGGCAATTTATATCAAAAACATTTATATTTGTGATTAATTTTTTTTTCCAGAACTACCTGGTTTTCTCTCGGTCCTTAACAGTTATAGTGTCCTGGCCTTTCAGTTCGATATACATCCTGTGCTGCTCACGCTCCAAATTGATATGAAGCGCAAGTCACAAGTGTCCTGGGCAGCACTCAGTGGAATTGCCAGTAAGTGAAGATTGGTATTATTTGTGTTTATTATTTGTTGTTTATTTGAACCGGTTTAGTTACTTGCAGTGTGGCCATCATTGGTGCGGTTATCGCCGCCTACAAGTTTGGTTCCATGATTCACAGCAATCTGATCCAATCTCTACCAACCAGTGTGCCCTTCTATGTGATGCTTATACTGATGTCCCTGCAGCTTTGCTTCTCGGTGACGGTGGCCAGCTCAGCGATGTTTCTGCATATCGAGAACTACTTCAAGTTGCCCGAGTGTGAGTCATGGCCAAAGCCTGATTTATAAAAATAGCTAAAATAAAATATATTTTGCTCGTTATCTAATTTATGTTATTTTTACAGCTCTCTCCTGCAAACGCATACTGATTCGTTCCAGTATACTCGCTCTGGAAGTGCTTGTGGCGGAGTTTGTGCCCAGTTTCGATGCGCTCATGGATGTAGTTGGTGGCACCATAACGGGTCCTTTGGTCTTCATACTGCCTCCTCTGCTATATCGCCGGATTCGACGCATGGAGCGAGTGCATCAACGCATTGCGGCCGAAGCGAGCTATGGCAGTCTGCCATTGGACTTGAATTATGACTCAATTGACCTTGAAATGGAGCCACTTCTGGTCGAAACAAAGTCACATACACCACGTGGCTTGTGGTTCCGTTTGGTGCGTCTCCTGCATCGTCTGGAATGCGATGTATCCTGCACTATGGGTGTGCTGATCTTTGGACTACTCGCCACATTTCTGTCGACATATTTGAATTTGTTTACGATTGGCAATCTATTTAAAAACAACTCGCCCTGTCTAAGTAATCTAACGGCGCATTAGGCGTACACTCAGCAAAAAATATGAATTCCAATTTACAAAGTTGTCTTCACTAATCTTGCTAATATCCATATTTTAAAATACAAGTTCGATTATTTGTTAGAAACAACAAAAAAAAAATCATAAATTTAGAAAAATGATTTCTGGTTTTCAGGGCAATTTTATTTTATGGCAATAATAATAATTATTATATTTTATTAGAATTTTTAATTTTTAATTTTTAATTTAGTTGCACAAAGTTTGCTGAAGATTCACCCTGAGCTCTAAGTATGTAGATTTAGACATGTCTATAAATATAATTATAGCTTCATCAGTGTTTTTTTTCTACTTGCTATTTCCGGCCTTCGATAAGTTCAAAAACCTCAGAGTGCCAAAACGTTGATGCATTATTTGTTAAATGCTTTTTTTTATATAAACCACAAATTTTTATAAATTTTATTATACGATATGATGTGAAAACATGCGAAATGTGTACTAAATAATTGTCTCTGTCATATCTATACGTGTGTGTGTGTGTGTGTCAGTTTATGTGAGTGTGTTTAATTAGTTAAGCTTTATTAAAACATACGTTAAACACAACTATTTTTTGAGAAACTGCACAACTGCTCATCATTTATCATCTTTTGGTCGCGTCGCAAATTCGTTTTGTTTGCTAACAATTTTGGTTGTTGAAAACTTAAAAACAAAAATATGTACACACACATAAAAAAAAATAAAAACAAAATAAGTAAGAGTGATCTATTCAAGAGTGATCGACTAGGTGATTCCCTACACTCAGATCCAATAAATTCGTAGTTACTGCCTTATTTATTATATCTTTATAACATTTAAAGAGAGAACTCTTACTTCTTGGAGATATGCAGTTTGCTTTAATAGAGATATGCATTTGTTTACATTCTGAAGAAGTCGAATCGGAAAGGAAAAATTACTTTTTATAATGCAAGCAATATGGAATTTAAATTTTTTTTAAAGAAATAGTAGTTGGAATCTTTATTATTACCTACGAAGAGACCGTATCGGAACCAAATTACCACATTCGGAACTGGAATGAAAATTCGTGTCCGTTTGACACTATGATTAAATGTTTTCAATATTTTTATTCAATCAATCAACGTAAAGTAATTTGTTTTTCCATTTCATTTTCGAAGCAAATTTTGAGATATTGAAAAATAAAATGGATAGAGAATTCTGCCCTTGTGTTTGCTACAAACAATTCGATAACTACATAGTGACCCTTGAAACACATTTTTAATGGGTATAAGAACAAAATATTTTGGCATTAACTTGAGACCAGTTTCGACCAGACTTTTGCATGGAAAGTAAGCTGTCCCTAGAACACACAGTTACGACTGCTGATAACGTTAGATTCTTATAATTGTGGCGTAGCATACTACAGAAGTAGAAGAATAGCTGAGCTCAGTGTTTAAATTTAAACACAGATCATCTCAGCTGAGGAAAGAATCTTCTGTCTGCTGCCTGGCTTGGCTCTTTATACGTAAATTTAATTTATTCTTTGGTAGCTGTTTATCTCTATGCACAACGTTTTTTCTCTCTATATATCTATATTTTTTATTATTTGCGTATTTGTATACAATTTCGTTTTTTGTTTTTGTTTTCTTCCCTTGGCATTTATTTCCGTCTTCCAATAATACGTTTTTAACCATGTTAAAGATGACTCAAGCCTCTGTCTAGATAATGTTAAAACCACAACTACAACAACAGCAGCAAAGATCACTAATCTTATAAGTAATATTTTTAATGTGATTATTTATGAAAATTAATACTCATTGTTCATTGATAGCAAATGAATGTACGTATGTCATCGCGTCATCAGTCGCCACAAATTTAATATGCCAGACCCTTTCAGCAAAACACTCACAAAAACACTCATGCAAAACACAGACTCACTCACATATTCACACCTGTTGCTGTGGCGCTTTTATTAGCTCGTTATTTTTAGTTTTATTCATTTTTTTTGTTTTGTTTAGGAATTTAATGGCCAAAGAACAAAAAAGTTCGTGTAACATTTATCCACAGTGCTTTTCTACGCACCCTTTTTAATTACGTCGAGCTTTGTCTGGGTTTACTACATGCGTGTATTACCCTCATGGGTTCTATTTTAAATACCCTTACATAGGGCTTAACAATTTTGTGGTGGAGCTTGTAATGTATTAAGGAATTCACCTTGGATACACCTTGGAAATAATAATATTAAAGGTCGATTAACAGATTTATCCACACATCGACTCAACTAAGTGAACTCTGTCAGTTTTAAAACCAACTCGATAAATCTTGGAGTATTTCTGATTATTTGCTGCAAGCAGTCCGATTGGATAACTAGATAGCCATAGGAATAATCAAACTGATTGCTATGGGAACAATCAAACTGATTGCTATGGGAACAATCAAACTGATAGATTGTTGCTTTGGATATGAAAGTGTATTTAAACTGCGGCTTTCCATGTTAGCTTTCTTACTCGTTTCCTCTTCTTCTATGTTCTTGTATTCATCTCTGACTGAGTGGCAGGTTCGAATGCAGAAGGTCTCGTTTAGCACGAACTTAGTGTTTACCTTATGGATGCTGAAAACAACGCTTTGCAGATGAGTCACAGCTGGAGGCTAGTACAAGTACTTCAGTCAAACAACGAACTTGCCACAGAGGCTTGGTGGCAGGGACGGGGGTAGCTTTTGCAGCAAGTGCAACATAAATCGTGCTAATTGATTATATCGTAGAGTATTTGACAAGCATTTTTCTACAATTTACACAAAACATGCATAATTAATAGTTATTAAATTTTTATTGCTTTTCAAAATATATTGAAAATTAGTCAGAGTTTGAACAATTAGCCTTGCCGAACAATTGTCATAGAACTATCCAATATGCATACAAGCCAATATTTATCCTTGAGCTAAAGTTGGAGTGAAGCGTGCACTGCGAAAAGCAATTATTTTAAAATATATTTTATATTTAAGATCTATGGCATCTTAAAAAGTTATTGCACTTGTTATTGTATGAGTGAAACTTCTGTTTGGTTTTCGTTTTTTCTCAGCACATTTAAGAATATTTTTGTTGGCTTTTTTTAAACGATCTGAATAATATTGATAGACTGCTCATGTCCTTTCAGTTTTTGGTCCAACACCCAAACAGCTAATTAGTGAGTTTATCTGTCAATCAGATTATTTTTATATTTATGCCATTAAATAAAACTTTCCCAAAATTGTTATATTAAAAATGAAACTTTCTTTGCAATTCATTGGCTTTGAATGATATTAAAATCAGCTTTCTGAAAGTGTGTCTACAAAATAATCACAGCTTCAGCATGTCAAGTATAAATAAAAGGGCTGTATTACTATAGCTGTTCAATTTCTTCACACGATTCAGTGGTTTTTAACTTGGTCATCAGATCTCAGCTGAGTTTATGCCTGGAGGCAGTAGCTATTGTTGTTGTTACTGTTGTTGCTGTTGGTTGCTATTGCTGTCAAAGACTGATTACACGGTGGCAATTTTCAAGTGCCCGCCACAAAGGCTTAACCCAGAAATTAATGATATTTAAATTGCCAGTTCCTTTTGCCGATATCTGCTCGTGTGTAGTGTATAACAAAAGGCAATCGCTTTTTTTTTCAGCTTTAACTGAAATTTCACTTTTCATTTCCTATTGACCCCATTTCATTGGCGCACTTCTTTCTAATTTCATTTGGCTAAGCATGCTTCTTCTACTGTTTGCTTCTCAAGTGCCCCGCAGTTCTTCAAATAATTTTTATTCTATTTTTTTTGGTTATTTTTAATATTTTTCGTTTTTTTTTTATTTTTTTTTTATTTATTTATTTTTTTTGGCAATTTTTTGGTTGCTAATCGAACGTTGAATCTGTCTGTAATGTCTTTCGAAGTACTATTTATGCCGAGTCTGCTATTTTGGCGTTTTGCTGTTTGGCTGCTTTCTGCATCGATTGAATTCTCATTAGGCACATTCACACGTGCACACTGGCTCCAGATCCCTCTTCAAAACTGGGTTCCCGGGGCAACTATCGCGCGATGATGACTTTTTGATTTCGTTTGTCTCCATCACTCTCGACACTTTGAATCCAGCCCACAAAAGTGCTTTTCTATGCCCTGCAGAGGGGTACTGTGATTTCGCAGAAATTAGGATATGTCTGTCAACATAATGTATATATATATATATATTCCTGAAAAGAATCGAATTGATATATATCCACGTATCTCTCCTTATTTATTAATATAACTACGTGCACTGTGTCAGCTTTCAATCTTAATTGAACTTTGGATATATCTGAATTATTCTACTATTATTTATACTCTGAACTCATTAAATATATGAAAAAGGGTATAATGAAGTTGTGTAAATGTATGTAACACGTAAATGGATTGATAGCCAATAGGGTATATATATAAGGTATATATACTCTCGATCAGTATCAAAAGGCAGAGTCAATGTAGCCATGTCCTGTGCATCTGTGCAGACGGATTGTATGAATCTGCCGATCTCAGAGATCTCGTGCAACACTCACCGACTATCCCCGTTTCGCGAGTTTCGATACGAATCTATATCTAATAACAATAAAAGACACACTTGTAAATATATAATCTTCCCAGGCATATTATTGATCAACCGTAAAAAGTTCTTAAAGATCAAATATATTCTTAAAGATCTGAAATCAGCAATTCTTTGAATTCTTATTGAAAAGTTGGGTTCAGGCAACCCTATGTTATGACATCCAATAAGCAACATCGAACTTATTTATTATATATAGCTATATTATTATTGATATATGACCAGTTAAACTGCCTTCTGCAAGAGTATTTACAATTCGAAAGACTTGTATTTTTCTGCAGTTTATTTCGCTTAGATTGCTTGGGTTGCTTGTACATTATTTTATTAGGTTTTAGTTGATTTTTTTTCTTATCCATTGAGCCTGAAGCTATATATTGGTTCAATGTTTGCTTTTGTCCAGTTCTGTGTCTGGGTACTTCAGTTCAATTAGCTGTCCTTGTGGCCGCCGCTACTAACTTGGCCCATTTAGCGGAGAGCCACCACATTAGCATAAAAACGCATTTGTACATACATATTAAAGTGGAAAATATTAATGTATTGGAGCGTTAA